TACGGCGCCAGGCCGATTGAGTATTTTGTTCAAAATTGAATACAATTGCAATATTGAACAAAACACTCAATCGGCCGGGCGCCGGCCGATGGATCGGAGCAAATGTGACCCAGGCATTACTAAAAATGTATCTCCAAACTTTGACCAACTGTAGCTGGCATAACAACTGTCCGTTTGACTGGCATCATAATTGTCCGTTTGTGTTAAAGCTTGCTCTTGGTTTGGTTTTGGGACGTGTCCGGATATTCATTACATCAATGGAGGATAACATGATATCTTTTAGCTAAATATACAGAAGAATCGATGGATTGGTAATCTCGAATTGGATTAATTCTACGTTTGATTGAATCTTACAAGCAATCAGTTCATTTACTTCTCAACCCCAAGAAAAATATCTGTAATGAGAAAAATACCTCATGTTTAAATTGACAAAAAGAGAGGACATCGTAGAAACTAGAAAAATATAAATTAAATAGGCATGTAGTTAACACTCTAAATTGTATGACAGAAGATTGGGTAGTTCATTCAATTTTTGGAGAGAAAATGAAAGAAATAGCCATGATCAAATAGAAAATTCAGACGCGGTGATGCAATTAACTAATGTATTAATCAATTAGTGTTTGTTTTTGGATGGGACTTAACGAGAAAACGATGTAAGTCAGAACTGTCGGAACCTTGGAATAGGCAAAGCGGGATTAAGTTTTTCTACTACATTGAAAGGGGATGGCCAATTCTCTAAGGTGATGGCTTAAGGTGATGTTTATACAGATTATAGGTCTTTATTCTCTGCCATGCAAGCGTAAACGCTGTAATTAAGAACGGCGTTGGCTCCTGGCCTGATCCCAAAATCAAAGAACAATTTGAAATTAGGATTAACCTTAACTATCATCACCTTCATTAATGGGCTCATCATTGCTCTTTCAATTCTGCTCTTTATTTAAGGCCCAAGGTTCTTTTGGTGGAAGCAAAAAATCAATTTTTTTAAAACTTCCAGGGGAGTCTTTGTCAATTTCGTCACAAATTACAAATCAAATCACAAGTGCTCAAAATGCTTAAAACTGCATGATTTTGAAGGAATTTTGACCAAGGAGGTCTCAGTCGAGTTCATGTTGATGATGTTTAGGGGTTGCCACATTGTCATATTCTGTTCTATCATGCTATTACTCCAGATTCATATAGATAACTCCATGTAATCATCGCACATGTACAGCTGTCTTCCATTATCCCCCGTGAGATTTGAATTTACAATTCTAAATCTTGTATAAATCCTTTGTGACATCCATACATCCAGTAATCGCATGGGTCTTATTTCAAGGGGGGGGGGGGGTATTCTACTTTCTAAGGTTAAAACATTAAAAACAGATTTCATGGTGTTATTTCTGATCTTTTTGTTTTTTCAAAAGCAACTCTTAGATTAGGGGAAATATTTATATTTAAATTTGATATCAAGAAAATCAAGTTTAAAAAATGTTACGAAGAGAGACTGGAATGGGTAGAGCCGTATTTTGCGCACACCCCCTCTATAAGTTTGGCAACTGATAAGTCCCCTACTGGATCGCGTGTTCATTTCCATTTTTGTTTTGCGACTTCATCAAAATCATCAAACCCCTTTCCATACAATTGTAACCTATACAATTACAAAAAAGAATCACCATTAGCATAATGAAGACCTCCTGTTGTCAGATTTATGGGGGGGGGGGTGTACATCGGCGATAGTTGGATGGATACCCCCCCCCCACTCCATAGATGCTGTAGATTTCCCGCATTTATATACTTAGAATCTTAGATTGTATGTGGACAGGGCTTATTTTCCGGGGTTAATTCCTCAAATGGACTTATTTTGCACCAGATTGTAAGGTTACGCTTACTAGAACGTTATCAGTTAGTAATACAGCGAAAACTACTTTACGCATTCCCTTTAATTAACAAATCATTCAGAGTTTACGTCGACTGACCTGATATGATTTAATTATATGAAAATTCGTCACGGAGACAGGAAACCATAGACTTGTTTAAAACAAATTGAAATACCTTATAAGTTAATGAGCATTGACAGCTCTACAAATTATATATTTCGTGATACCGTACAATCCATCCTTGATTAATGTACATTTTGTTACCTTAATGGAAAGAAAGGGAGAAACCCCAGGGTTCAAAGATGACATACGCTTATAATGTAAATCTGTATTGAGATGACATCGTCGCTGATTGGTTTAGCGAATCGATCGTTGATTGGTTTAAAACTAGGTCAATTTGAAAATTTTGAAAACCAAGATGGAGGGTAAACAAATATACGTACTTCCGGGAAAGGAGGTGCGCGAAGGAGGAAATCGTATGTCATCAATTGAATCATGGGGTTTTCCCTCCTCTTTTTAATGGAGTTTAGCTGTGATACATGAGACTATCGAAACCTACGACAATACACTGAACGAAGGTCGTATACTGTCATGCAAATTGAATAAAAGGATTTTTACGATAATTAAATTCAAGTCACGATTGACCATTGAATTAAAGAGAATAACGAACTGTTTTTCGTACTTGTGTTAATACGTTAAACTCATTAAGCTGATAAAGTTCAATCTCAATCAATTAATTTGTATGTTCATTGTGCACAAATAAAGTACAAAACGGTCATCCAATAACAATGTTTGGTTGGAGACGCTGGAGAATAATTTCTTTCTTTCACGTAAGATCATTGCTTGGGATATTAGGGGTTTGTTTTCTTATGACTCACTTTTCTTTTTGTTAACTACACTCCCCCCTATACATTTGGCAACTGAAGATTTTCATTGGATGAATATCAAGAAAATTTATGACAAATTTCATTTTTCAAATCGCCACACATAAACAGGCTGTTTGATAAGTGATCCAAAATGGAACGGTACAGCATCTTTTCCATTCAATCGAGGTTGGGTCATGCAATCGAAGGAAAGCAATACAACCTAAGGTAAGCCATACAACCGAATTTTGCCGATGCAATCTGACGGAGAATGCCGAGCCTCTCTTTTTGACCAATTAGAGAAGTCCTCTTCACATTCGTGCTACCCTCGGTAAACTTCGTTTGCAAAGAAAATCTGCGGCAATCTCCGGCTTTTCTTGAGGTATCTTCGGTTGCAAGCCGAAAGTCGACACCCAAAATGGAACATCCAGTTGCCAAACTAATTGGATGGAGCGTACATATCTGTATTTATTTCCATTCCTATAAATGTAATATGGACCAGGAAATAAGTTACCGAAATACAACAGGCAATATGGAGGCTAATTGAAACAACATTTATTAATTTAACGTCTACTATGGAGAAGGTCTCGGGTTTACTTCTGATGACTTTGCGGATATTAAAGCTTATTGTTCAAATTTGTTTAGACACGTTTGCTTATTAATGATTTAGTAATTTCGCAAATTCGTATAAATATCATCGTCGCTTTCCACTGGGCCTAGAGACCTGAGGTAGGAACAATCGAAACCTTGTGAATCAAGATGATAAATATTGCTTGCCTGAATTCATGGCTTCTCACTCGCCATTAACCCTTTGACCACCAGATCGTGTCACTGAATTTGTACCAGTTTTTTGCCATTTTACTCATAATATGAGATTTCGATCGATTTGGTAAATAAAGTAAAGATAGCGCCATTAACCCTTCGGCCACCATAGCATTTCGCTGAGTTTGTACCAGTTTTTTGCCATTTTATGAGATTTCGATGGATTTGGTAGATAAAGTAAAGATAGACATTTAAAAATGATTTGAGTAAATTGGATAAATATTTAGATTTATTTTCAGGGTTTGTTATAAGGTTTTGAAGTGAAGGGGTTAAGTTAATAATACAGGGGTTTTCTATTTCCTTTAAGTGAAACATTATCAAGTCTGTATTTTATAATGGTAAGAATATGTAGGCATCATTAATGTTATTCTTTGAAGTAATATATTAATCAGTCTTGTTATAAGTTAATATCCTCTTTGATGAACGCTAAGAGCTATTAGGAAGTATTTAATATAGAATCATAGAAATTCATTAGTGTACATTCCCCTAACTAAGTTTAGAAATCATAGTTTCAGAATAGGGTGCACTTATTGTTAAAGTCTATGTTTCAAACAGTAAGAAATTCAGTAAACTGCTTTTCCCAACAGAATGAGTCAAAGTATATGTCCACGCTCCCTTCGAGGTGATAGAAAACTAGAAAACTAATAACAAACTTCCCAAATGATACAAAATAGACACACCGTATTCATCACAACATACTAAATCACACGTTGAATTAAACTACCAGTATATTTACACTTGTTCTGACATTTTTGTAAAATAAAAATGTGGAGTTTAAGACTCCAATATTTGGGCTCGTATCAGAGGACAAAAACAGTATCTTCCATGTTGGCTTTGTCGGACAATTTGCTTTACTGGGTGTCCGGCAATTACGTTACTTAGATGGAAGACATTGCCTTCTGTTCAAGATCAGATATAAACGGTACTAACAACGCTGTTAAATCACAATCCGCATGTCAACGAGATCATATACAGTTACATTCAATGGTGTTTTATTTAATCATGGAAATATTTGATAGATTAAGAAATTTAGTGACTGATATTACAGGGTGTCCAATCCATTTAGTCTCTTTACAATGATTGCCCCTTTTTATTGTAATTGAAAAGAGACTTATGGACACCCTGTATGTTATGACAGAAATATGAAAAAAGCAAAAAAATAAAAATATGTTTATTTGATGACATTATGCTTCTCTGAATCCATGCTCCTTTTGTATTATATACAAGGTATTAACATGCAAAATGTCACTATAACCGCCATTTGTTCCAGACGCCGATCGCTGAAGGCCGACCGTCGAACACTGTCCACAAAAAGGCAAAGACTATAACGATATGTCACCACTTCGAGTATAATTAATAATATGTTTTTTGCTTCTCTGATTCCAGGCTCCATGTGTATAATATAAAATAAATAGTTTAAAGACTATACTTAAAGGTGCTTTTTGCTCTTTAATTCCAGGGTATCTACACTACCTCCACAAACCAGAACTGAGTGTGTGTGTTCTACACTGCCACGAAATTAAGCTTCCCACATATCCAGTGCCTTTTGAACTAAATGAGGGTAAGATTAAAGGCCCCGTGTAACGTTTGAAAATATAGTTTAATCATTTAAATATGACCCAGAAAATTAAATAGAGACGTTTCACCTGGAACATTTTGATAACATAGGGAAGGACTATATATAATATGAGCAAAACGGTTTAAATTTTACATGGGTCCTTTAAATTTCAAGTATACTTACACTATTCATTGGCGTACCAAACCTTTGAAAAGGGTGTAACTTAACTTTGATGCGGTGAGATATTTTTTGATTAAACTTTTAAGGGCACTATAAATTGCAATTCCCTCGGAAAGTTAAACACGACGTTAATGCTATGTTCATTTCATATTTGGATATTTGTTAAAAAACTAAAAATGTAATTCTTCTGTGTTATTGTATTTTCAGCCGATCTATTAAAGTTAATGGAAGAAGACAAGATCAAGTACAAAGAACTACTGGAAAAATATAAAAGCCGGATGGCAGAAGCTAATGTAAGAGTACAAAGCAGTCATTGATAGTTAAAACCTCTTTCTTCCCTTTCTTGACTTCGATATATCATTAGAAAACCGACCGCTATATCATCGTATAGAAACAATACGTCGTACTCTTTATAGGTTTCTCAGAAAATCTATCACAATTTTAATGAAATTCTCTTTCAGATATCATAACGTATAATGACCAGTATTTAATTCCAATAATTCATTGGATATACAAGAATATATCTTGTAGGATATTCATGGAATACATAATATTGACAACATGTAGAAGTTACTGTGTTTCAACATTTCCCCTTTATACAGGACGTTACAGAAGGAGAGTGACTTTACCATTAAATAGTTAACTATCCGACATTGATCTTTTGAGGAGTGGTGACTTACTGTAGATATACCGGGTGTCCTAGAAAAAGTTGTACTCAAATAAAATTGAAAAAGCTGAAATTTTAGCATGATTACAAAAGTTCAGTTACTTACTAAAAAATCTAACATTTTAGACGACATGCTATAAATTACTTTCATCATGGTTGATGCAGAGCTGAGTGCAATGCCAAACACGGAGAAATGGGCACTGATGCAAAAAGAGGGGGAGAAACCCCAGGGTTCAAAGATGACATACGCTTATAATGTAAATCTGTATTGAGATGACATCGTCGCTGATTGGTTTAGCGAGTCGATGGTTGATTGGTTTAAAACTAGGTCAGAATATGAAAGTCGCCATTTTGTAAGCAAATATACGTACTTCCGGGAAGGGAGGTGCGCGAAGGAGAAAATCGTATGTCATCAATTGAATCATGGGGTTTTCCCTCCTCTTGATGCAAAAACAAGGTTTTCTCATCGATCGGTAATTTTTTTAGTGACACCCTGTAGCAGTGTTCTTATGGCTGTTCATGACTGTTGATAGGATGATTTTTGAGAAAGAGTGTACTTCAAAAAGTCCACAAATGAATACGGTCATATGATACGAAATATAACATTTATGGATGGGAGAAGGGTTTTTCTCCAAATATAACCGCAAAATGCTTTTACTATCTTTATATTCTTTTGCTTTTCAGGTTAAAGGTCAAGTGAAATCAATAAATGGCAAACCGGGAGAGGCTATAGTTAAATGTGCTGTTGAATACGATGCTGACATGATCGTCATGGGGTCACGTGGTCTTGGTGCCATACGACGTACGTTCATTGGCTCAGTCAGTGATTACGTACTACATCACGTGAACGTCCCAGTTTTGGTGATTCCTAAGAGAAAGTAAAGGACTGCTAAAATTCTCAAAAGTTGATATCATTAGACATTATTTAAATGCATTCTAGACATTTAGATCACGTGGACTAAATGTACTGCCATGTGGATTTGTTATATTTGTGTATATTCTCAAAATATGGACTTCAAGAGAAGGCTATGTTACTCTGTGTTCCAAAGGGTTCCAAATATGAGGACTTCAAAATGAGCATTGTCACGCTTCCTTTTCATCATATTTTCAATGTGTATATGGATAACATATAAATGTGTATGGTTTAGTATTAGTCTGAAGAAAAATCAATCCATAGATAATTGAACCATTAAATATGTTTAAACTCAGTTGAAAGTAAACAAAAATGATCAAACAGAGGTAGAGAAGAGGTATCAAAATTTTTTCTTCGAATGTTGGATTATGGGAAATTATTCAGGAACACATTCCAATAAAATTATAATATGCTTGAGAATACAAACTTTTTTATTTTTGGGTTATTTCTTTAAATTATATATGAAAAATACAAAACAATTTTTTTTCTTGGAATGTGTACAGGAAGTATTTTTCACTAATTTTGAAAACCAATGGCAATGCTCACGTATTGAATTTGGGAAGTTGGATACCATTCTCTTGAAGGCCCATGATTATATGTATTAAGTTCGTAATTAGATGAAGCATACATCTAATATAGTATAAGATTCTATATTAACAATATCAAATGGCTGGCAAACATACATATAGGTACTGTAATAGCCTAATCATGTATTGGACACAAAATAATCTATTAATGAAATTTAGAATTTCTGCCATGCAACAGTCATGAAGTGAAGCTTACCTAACACCTAACAATACTACACGAGGCACTAACATGCGAAATGTTACCGCCTACCATTTGTTACAGACGCCTCACCTCTGGTGGTGACATAATGTAAACGTTTTACGAAAACATTGATGTATGAGCATTATCTTTTCATTTGGGCGTTTTGCATAGGATTGGTGGAAGAATATGAGGAAAGTAGCACTTCAGTGCCATGGTATACGACAGCACCATCTTTGAATATAATACGATAATTTGCAGACATATATATAACATTTGTTAAAACACATATATGGCTTTTGCAACTCCATTTAAACATAAAAAGCGGGAGTTTTGAAATTCGTGGAGTTATGCATAAACTCATAGGGGGAAAAGTAAGGGTAGTTGACCCAATAAACAACACGATAACATAATTTTAATTTCTATATTGCGTTATGTAATATATTCTTCCGTTTATATACCATTTATTGAATAAAAATATACAGTAGGTTTGTAAAATCCGATTATAATAAAGCATTTTGTACAGTTTCTTCTGTTTTGACAGCGCATGCGCACCTGGGGGACCATAATTTCTTTCACACCGAGCTTTAATCATTTCATTACGAACAAAGGATTGGTATCGATACGGCAAACTGAATTGAAAAACAGTTATAAAAATATATGTAAATAATTTCTGCATTAAATTGTTGTCAATCAGTGACCATTACATAATGGACCTTGTTTTTTACAGAATGTTTTCAATGAAAAACAATGTTGAATTCAATTCGCCATATCGATACGAATCCTTTATGTACTAGGTCCTTTATGGGTTTTATTCAACATCGGAAGAATGGCTCGTGTCCCGGGTAAATGGTCACACAATCCTGTAAGAACACCTTCACTTGTTTTCTTGGTTAAATGTGAGTTCAGTAACGAGCTAGTGTATTAGTGTATGGTACTACAATCCCCTTCAAACGCCTGTTAATCACATTTATTGGTCCTTTCCATCAATTACTAAAGGACGGTAAATGACTTTCATGAAGTTTTGAAAATTGCCAAACATTAACTGCTCTCACACATGGTACAATTTGTAAGGTTTGTTGCCACACTATTTTCGGAGAGTGTACTCGTACAATAGTCTCTTGTGCATCTATAACTTGAACACTTGGCTTCTCGGTTATTATATGAGTTGCATATAGTGACATCTATATATTTTGCATTCATTTCGCTGGACACTAGTTAAACAAAATAGTATAACTTAGTAGTGACATAATTCTGCTGATCCATGTGTCTTGTTCCTCACAGGGTGTGTACCAAATCAAGCGTGACAGTTAAACGCGCGGGGTTAGGTACAACACGAGGTCGATGGAATTTGATCAATCTGATGTTTTCATTGTTTCAGAAAGATCTGGTATAGTTTCTGGATATTTTACTATATAAATGTCTATAACAACAGTGAACTTTACAGTGAATTTCATGGTTAAACCTAAAATTCGGTTCAGTCCCTGTGTTCCCGTTTCATGTTAACTGAATGTGTGTTGATATTTTTAAGATCAAGCTATGTTTTCAATTCCTTGGAGTCCTCCGATCGGCTTTACGGTGGTGTCTATGACGATCTTGAATTTGAGTACTATTGTCATCTCTATGGAAACCAATGTCAGGAGGGAGATTCGTTTTTAATGGCCGTAGAAGGATTAAGCCAAAGTATGTCTTATCTCCATTTAGTTTGTATCTACGGTACGTTGAAAATGGTCTAACTCCGATTTGGTCGCCATGTGCTAGTTCAAAAACGCCACCTTGGTAGTTTGTATCTTGTGGGTATTTTCCACCGAATTTTCTGCCCCTAAAATGGCAAAAGCCTATCAGTTAGATGGAACGTTCTACAAAATCACTGGCTTTGCACTCGCCAAAAAGGTTATAGAAACGGATCCGTTTCGGTTTGTGAGAAAGAAAAGTCGTAGTGATTCTGCCTATACAACTCGTGAAATAGATATGAAATATCGATCAGTTCATAATGGATGAAATAAATGAATAGGAATAAAAAAATTAAATTAATTTTAATTTGTATGTATGACAAATACCTTCTCACTAAAATCACCGTTGATCAAATGGAAACGAAAACATGAAGTCTTCGTTTCACCATGGCCGAACTTCCGGTCGATGAATTTGGTCAGAACTTTTGTTTTTTATTTGTCACCTTTATCCTTTTAACTACATATTTGGCCAGTAAAGTGCGTTTGTTCTGGTATTGAAGTATGATTACATCTCAGAAACAGAAAGAATAAGTTTTTAGTTCTATATTTACAAATTAGTTCCCTCGCCTAGGAAACGAAAACAGATTTCCGTTTTGTAGCAATGATACGAAGACATGATTTATTTGCAACGAAGACATTCGTCTTCGTACTGTCTTCGTTTCTCTGAGGCCCTGTCTTCGTTTCCTAAGCGAGGGAATTGTTTTGTAATTATCCAAACAATAACTGAATGTATTTCCTAGGTATTACCATATTTCGAAACCGGAACATACGCATTACATACGTGCTAACTATTTGGCTAAAGTTTGACGGATAAAGGTGATAAAATCGAGAAAACAATTATCAACCGGAAGTCTGACCATGCTGGTTGATACCCAGTGAAAATAATGACATAATCTTTTAATTTACCCGTGCACTTGCGTCGATACACTCGACATTAGCGTGGTTGCATTGTCGTCGGGGTCCAAGCCATTCGCTATTCTAACAGTATCGTGCCCTATGCCATGTTCGGTGCCACTAAAATACGACACGTTAATATTAAAGGTTGTACACTTAGGTTGAACTTATTTTTTGAGCAAATGGATGGTTTTGTACCCAAATGTATGGTACCATATCAAGAGGTGATCTTGGGTGTGTCTCCAATATAGTCTTGCTTCAAGACTGTGGACCTGACTCTTTATCTAAACAACACAGTTGTTAAAGTAGATAGACCAGAGGGTCCTGAAGCAAGACTACCTCCAAAACTGACGTCCTTCGAATCCAATAAAGACAAATATTTATATGTGTCAACCATGAACACGTGAAACGGTTTTGTGCTACTTTCAATGTTATTTAGCATGGAAAGTGGTGACATCTATCTATTTTGTGATCCGTAGCCCGGATGAAATTACCTATTTTCGCTGTTCCCGTATGCCGCTGTTTGTGAATAGACGAAGTAGATGCCATCTTCAGAAACAGTTACAAACGTACCAGGTGTTTCTTTGACTTCCATTTCACATTCGGAACAGGCCTTATTCCATCGGAAATATTTTCCGGCTGAAATACGATGGTGTATTAAAAAACAAGACAGGAATAATTCTTATTGAGTACAGTATATTTTTCACGCCGTAAGTTTGAGACGCATGAGCTCTTTGCGCTTATTCATTTAATGATTTTCAGACTATATTTACTCAATTTTTTTTAAAAATTTAGTATACTTATATCAATATTGAAATGTTTCATTTTTCTTAAGTTGTTTTTAAACATTATTTATTCAAGTACTGCTCAGCCTACATGTACAGGGTGTCAAATAAACATGTTCTCCCCCTTAGTTCTCATATCCACATAATGCTGCATTACCTTTTTGTTTGCATATGTTTGGCCATGGGCTTTCAACTTGAAGCCCATGGTTTAGCACATTAAAACTAGGCTTCATGGTCATGAAGCAACTCTACAAGAAGTTTAAGATGACTAGCTCAACGAGATGCAATTTTACACACAAAAGTTCATACCCTTGAAATTAAAGAGAGAATCATGAGATAGCGAGCAGGCTAAACAAAAAATTGCTTCAATTTTAGAATATTTTTGGCTCATGTCATTCCTTGTCATGTCTATTTTCTAAAAATCATACAAAAGTGCATACTTTTTTCTAGCAAAACTAAAGATTTTTACAATAATGTCTTATTTTTCTATAAGAATGGTTACCATTCTTATTATTTGGAAGAATTAACATTTTTACCCATTTTTGCACTTTAAATCATTAAATAACTTCACCAATTTATAACATATTGTGAATCTTTTGGGAGATATTGTATTTGATATTGTAAGGAGGAATAGATTGGAAGGTCAATAATGCACATTGCTTGTAATTTTGTCACCCCCTATAGATCAGATTCTGCCTTTAAGGGAAATGACATATTTATTTGACACCCTGTCTGTATCATGCCATTAGGTGATTGACAATCTTTCTTGAACAACGTTCATTTTGCATAAACTAAAAATATGAAATAATTTTATTTTTTATATTATATTATTTTAATGTAACCTACGTTGCATTATTTCAGGGAGAGGGGGTTTCTTACAATACGTCTTCAAGTGGCAATATGTATGCTGAAAAAACACAAGCATTTGAAATATTGTTTTGTGTCCCAGGCCCAGGGTCATGTATAATTAATGCAATATTGAATATTGGCTAGTTGAGTCCGACTCTCATGCTCCTGGGCCTGATACAGATCATATAGATGGCAGGTTGGGTATCATGTAAAATATATTAAATATGTATTATTTAACCTTCGATTATTATACTTTCTTACTAATTTAATGACCATTTTCAGTAGAAGTGGGCAAACATAGTATTTATTAGGCAAAATCACCACTTATACAGTATTTTTTATATATTTTTGGTATTTTTTAGTTTAGTTGGTGTAGTTTAGACATGTAGTTTACCATAGTTCTGACTAATGTAATCATGTTATGATACAATATGTCAATAAAAGTTATATACATGTACATGTATATAACCTAACCAGAAATTAAAAAAATCAATAATCTGAGTGCCATATAAATGTAGAAAAAGAGAAAATGCAAGCTTTTTGCAATCTGCTACAATCACGCATGACAATCTGATTTTCTTTAGTAGCAAAATAATATAAGAGTAAGATGCCGTTATGAAGAAAGCCATGGGTAGGTCGTTACTAATAATACTTACTGCGTTCTTTTCGCCGTTTATAATTGTTCTCCTGATGATATCAATCCGTCCGTTCACTATACTGTTCATAGTGTCGATTTTTGCTATCAGGGCATTGACTAAAAGGAATAAAATTAATATACTTATGTACCTCAAAAGTTGCCTTCAATAATAAAGAAAACATAGCATATGTCTATTTAGTAATTCCTAAAATAAAATAATTTAATCACATCATGCTACTGTTTCTGAATTTTGAAAGCTTATGATAGACTTTGAAAAGGCATTTGACACGATGGCTTTTTTCTCATTTTTTGCCCTGAGAAGATCTTATATATTTGTATATAAAATCATATAATATCTCATACAGATTGTTACATTATTAGATAAAAATGATATCATGTCTGTATATAACTTTAATTTCTCTTGCACACAACACAAGGGGGAGTAGTACACCCTATATTTATTTTGCCGCATAGGAAATGTAATCTTATCATTTATATACTATAAATCTGCTTATTCTTAAAAAATATATCTAGCTAATGACCATAATAGGAATACGATCAGGCCCGTAGCCAACTTTTGCCAAAAGAGGTCCAAATTTGACAATCGTGCGTGGAACAAAAATCACTTGAAAAGTGCTCAAGATGGTGAAAAACTGCATAATTTTGAAAAAACCGCCCCATCCCGACTATCGGCCTGACTGCTAATGATTGAATACTTGTGACAATCCAGATTCCATCATAACCAGTAAGAACCACATCGGTGTAAAAATAAGTTATGCTTTTCTACTTATGAGGCTTGCTTTGCGATGGGTGTTTTATCCCCATATCATATAATGTTAGATAATGACTGTTTACATGAATATTGCAATATATATAGGTGTATATGTGTACATGCAATTTTATCATTTTCCTAGGAATAAAATGCATTTCCATCCCTCCCATCAAATAACCTCAAAATACACAGGTACTTACTTTTCTCCTGCAGCTCTTCTATAGTATTGTTTTCGGATTGGTTTGCAGTAACATTTGGTTGTGTATTCGTCTCTAGATTCTCAATAAGGGGATTTTCTTCGACTGTTTCTTAAAAATAAAAAGACTATAAAATGATTATATCGTATCGTACATTATAGCACATGATCATCATATCATATTCTATAATTTAGGTCATTATTCTATACTATGTTACATTACACATCAATTTACACCATATTATATTCGGATGTATTTTAGTACTATATTATAAAATTATGAACTAACCGTGCCACACACATATTGCAAATTTCAATGTATCTATAACGGTTATATTTTATAATATATAATCTAAGAAATTTCTACCTCGCTTTGTTATTATCTTCAAAGGTGGTTGTGTGTTAGTGTGACATCGTTGTTTCTTTCTCTTTCGACCTTTTGGTTTTCTTCCGCGCCCACGTGGCCCTTTCCTTTTTGCTCGTCGTTTATTCCTGACTAGGGTATGCTGAAAGGTAAAGTAAGAAACAATTATTGTTTTGCTTATTAATGGAATCGGGAAGTTGCATACCCTTTTTTTCTCGAGGATGATTGGTTGCCAGGGACTCAACTCGATATTTTCCAATAATAAAAATGTCGTTATTTTCTGACATTATAAGGGGCTATAAATTCGTTATCATCAGTCAAAAATATTCGAACCAATATCTCGGTCACGTCTTGTTCGTTCTGGAATTAAGACAAAAACTTGCAATTCAAATTGTAAAGTGAACAAAATGGCGACTGTTTGAATTCGAATTTTGTAACCACGACAACTCCATATATGGAAAAATATCGAGTTGGAACCCTAGGATCCTCTTAGCTTTTTTCTTGAAAGCCATCGTCTGCTTTGAACCACAACTTGAAGCGCTGGGATTTGAACGAACTCATTTCCAGTGAAAACTCATTGTTATTTAGGCGCCAATGTCATTGTGCGCCTACAAATAAATCATGAAACAAAAACAAGAAATGTGTACTATGAGGCAGCAAAGCCCAGTGTCGATCATAATGATTATTTCAGTCATTAAAAAGTCAAGGAGGTTGCGATTATACCCGAGATGAAAATGGGTCACGATTTCGGACGGACGGATGAACGGACTGACTCGATCATTGACGGACTGACTGACGGAGGGCTTCACTATCGTTGGGATAAAATAGGGTTCTTAAACAGGATACTAAGTTTATCAGATCGCATTCAGATTTTTTGGTGTAATTCTAGACATGTAGATGATCAAATATGGGGCTTGAGTTGTGAAGCTTTTGCAAGGGAGTGGTACATGTCACGGGGCAAGATAATCTAGTTGTTTGGATTTATGATACCACAGTAAGTACTGCATTCTTAGAAAAATAAGGATTGGTGTGTTTACAAATAAACGTTTTGAGCCCACTTCAGTTCAATTGAAAGCGATTTCATGTTGATTAGACACGTAAGTTACATTAAACATTTATCAACAGACGGGAAATCAGTTTTGAATAAGAGCAATTGGAGAAACCTGGTAAAAATATGAGTTTATTGTCACATTTTGAACCAAAGAAAAATAAGGATTGAAGAGTTGCAGAGTTGTAAAGGGTAAGACAAATCCACCGCTCCCACTTCTTCACTTTCTAAATTCATTACAATTTAGTTCTCTAGTACACGGTTAAACTGTCATGTGTATATGTGCATAAGTTAGTTGCATCTTATATGTCATGGCACACCTGATACTGTACTTTTACTTAATTTGGCTTACTTATTTTGGTGGACTTGCAATATTAAATTGCTCTTATACATGGTACTAAAATAACCGGGGAATTCGGAAGCTACTTAATTTGGCGGACTTGCAATATTACAATGCACTGACGGTACTAATTTACATGGTACTAAAATTACTGAGGAATTTGGCAGCAACTTAATTTGGCGGACTTGCAATATTACAATGCACTTACGGTACTAATTTACATGGTACTAAAATTACTGGGGAATTTGGCACTTATTTAATTTGGCGGACTTGCAATATTACAATGCACTAACGGTACTAATTTACATGGTACTAAAATTACTGGGGAATTTGGCACCTATTTAATTTGGCGGACTTGCAATATTACCATGCACTTACGGTACTAATTTACATGGTACTGAAATTACTGGGGAATTTGGCACCTATTTAATTTGGCGGACTTGCAATATTACAATGCACTTACGGTACTAATTTACATACTGTAGTACTAAAACTACTAGGGAATTTTGGGAACTACTTAATTTGACTTTCACAATTTGGCAGATCCGCCAAATTAAAACGTCCGCAAAGTCAAGTAAGAGTACAATATCAATGACCCAAATTGTAGAGTCCATGTGCCTGATTTGCACTACATATCACATATTTGTAATGATCTTACATAAGTAATCTGTATGCTGATAATAAAATTGAAGAGTTCTATGCAATAAAATAAACTATTTAATGGAACTCTGTCGAGAATTTTTGAACACTCCGTCGATCTTCACCAATTACTACAGAACAACAAAACTGATATGAGGTTTAAAAATGCACATAAATAAAAGACAAAATGATATATGTTTTATTTTTTATTTTCTAAATATTTAAAGCTGGTTACATGTTCATGGATCTCTGCACTTTCTTATTTAAAATTTCAGAATAATTAAGTCGGTTATCTCATAAAGAATAAATGTTTTGCAGCGCCATAATGACAAATACTGATTAAAAGATTATTAACAAATTCAATATTGCTGAAATTTATTGCATACGACCTTCTGATGCGAAGCAATCTGTTAATACCCTCAAAAGTTCAAAAGGCTGATACATAGACCTAGTTCTTTAGAAATGATTAGAATTAAAAGTATCTTAGAAATGAATAGGTCAATGGCTCCTGTTTTCTCCCTGGTCAAAACAGCTGATATGACATACGCAATCATGTGTGTTTGAGAAAAATATTAAGGTAGGCCGCCCTGACCTGATGAGATTATCGTAGACCTTATGGTGCTTTGGCCTAAGGAAAGAAATTTAAACGATCAATCTAAATGGTCATTATCTATATTTTCCTATTGGTTTTCTTTCATACACATTTTTGACAGTTTCTTTTTTATAATGGTCATGAAATAATTTCCACATTGCACGCACACATATATTCAGATTGTACTCAAAGAGTTTGTTCTGCAAGCGCACATGTAAATGGTCCTAATTTATTAGTCGCAATAGTTTTTTACGTGGACCGTCTTACACATTAAATGGCGAGGTTATATATCAAACGTGACATTTACTTTCTTTGGATTATTTCAGACTGCGTCTCCACGTTCAAATATACGTATTCATACTCCGTTTTTGTAACTTGGTAATCACTTTTTTGAAAAATGGCCTCGTTTCTCAGAATAGAGGGTCTATTGTGAGAAATGAGGCCATTTTTCAAAAAGGCAAAAATCAACGTATCGAATTTGATAAAATGAGTAAACTTAGTATATTTGGGTCAAGTCAGAATACTTCTGCAAGTGTAGGAATAATTTGGGTTGCTCAGAACACCCGGAGGTTCACACACTTTCTCATTTTTTGCATAGACTTATCACATTTGATTTGAATGTAAATGACAACCATTTTTGGAATGGAATCGAGAAAGCTGACATTTTGTATTGCGCCTATTGATTTTAATACACTCTATAAAATTTTTTCATCATTTCTGTCTGCATTTCATCATGGGCTTTCTAAGCCCATGATTTCATCATACAATGTTGACTGCACCAAGATAATGATTGAATAAGCGTATGCATGATTATATCTAGTGAAATAATGTGGTGCACGGGAATTCAACTACAAATACATGTATTAGAGAGCCACATTTTGAGTTAGCAAACCACCTCTAGTAATGCATTCCAGATAATATTCAGTTATTCACACATTTTTGTTAATAAGTCTACACTAACATGACTAATTCTTGCACTTAATTCCTTCACGATTCATCTTCCACACCGAACCTTTTACCTTGAAACAGTTTTCAATAGTAGCCTTATTGCTTATCATTTAAAGACATTGTTTTTCCCTCCAAACTGAAATTTTTGACAACAGAGAGCAATGAAACAAATTACTAGATCTGACACACAGACTGCTTTTGAGACGAAAACTGATTGACAGATGTTACCATTTGATTTGTTGATGCTACCATCTGATTTTTTGACTTGCATTTTTGAATTGTCAATTTTCACAAAATGGGTAATCGATCGCTTTCATGTTTGTACAACTTGCCAATAATACCCAAAGGTTAAGTTAACTTCAATAAATTTGAGTAGATCAATTGCTTGAAAATACTTATCAAAAAGCGATTAACTTTTTTGGGTCACCCGATGCACATGTTCATTCTATATTTTACAGCAGACTAACGATTATTTCTAGAAACAGTGTAATTGGTTGCTCTCATCAATATCATAATTCCAGTCTGATGAAAAGCTATTAATAGTGTCATCACATCATGAATAGCCAAGTTGGTGCTTAGGAAGGTTAATATGTTGACCTCGAAAAAAATCCTAATAAAAAATAAAGCACGTGAATCGACGAGTTGTGGAACCGGTAATTTAATACACTCATGTCTTGTATGTTAGCATTTGAATTAGAGCTACTACTCTCATTTAAACACTCATACAAGCCTCACGTGCTTAAACTCGTCCACAATTCATTGTGTTGTGTGCTTAAATCCTTAAAATATGAACTTATAAACAATAACAAACACGTTCAGTGTTACAGACTAGTATTGTTATGCAGAATCTTTTGGCTCACCTCTGCATCTTCTGATTCAATTTCTGCATCAAGTTCTCCATCTCCGTCGTCCTCATCATTTTCATACATACGAGCACTTTTGTCATTAATGGCGTTGACCATTTCAGCGAGCCCGTTTTTAACTAAAACGTCCTTGGTAAGTTCCTTTCGACCTTGTGTTCCATCACCAAAATTCAACACGTTTTCTCCATGCTCGGATGTTTCGAGTGCTTTCTGGACTCCTTGTTTTGCTTCTCGCTGATACAACGTGGTCACCGAAATGAGAAGACCAGCGATACTGAAGCCCTGGAGAATGAGAACCACGAGAATAACGTTTCTTTTTAAAACTCCCGCCCTTCTCCTTGAATAGTATCGTTTTGTGGGAATCTCTATTCGTACTTCCTCGATAGGTTTGCATCGTTCATCGAAACTCGTCATGATTTTGCGTGGGTTTAGTTTCTCGGGGAATGCCCGGGATTTCGATCTTCTCCAACCTTAACTCTTCCTGTTAATGCTCGCTAAAGGCGCGCTTTCGTATAAAACTGTAAATAAATATAGGTCAGACTGAACTAGCCCAATTCCATCAATTCGAAACGCAAAAATAGAATTTTCTCCGAAGTATTAATTTGCATGTCATTTTCAGTTTGTATAAACCAAATTGAATTACTTATAAGGAAAGTGGGCGGTCGCACTAACATCAATCATTTGAGGGCAGTACCTGTACGCTAAAGGATGCTCCGCCCATTTTGTAAACTTGAACTTGACAAAGAACTTGACAAAGTCTGAAGGTTGCTGGTAAGTAAATATAAACAAAAACAGTACGATCGATTTTTCAATAATGCTTGCAATACACTATATATTCACCGGATTTATTCAAAGGCTGAATTTATACACCGTTTGCACCTTACACCGAATACTCATGATAAAGTTACTATAAAGAGACATTTTAGAGAAATCGACTTTTGGAGAAAATATTTAACTTTTAAAACTTCTTCGAACTGAGTTGTTTATTCAGTTGGGTCACTTAGACACAGCAGTCCATATACCCTTACAAATTGAATAAATTCTAGAGTTTGCCTTCTTTAATGGTATGTTTGAAATTTCAGCATGAAAATAGCGTGGTCTTTTGGTCCTTATTGGCCCTAAATGGATATATAATAGTTATAATCCCACACCTTTGCAAAACTTTTCAAGTGCGCGCCCTTACTGCGTAATTAATGCAGTATCAATGGTACCTCCAAAGCTTATAGAGATAAGATTAACAAAACGAAACTAAAGTGAATTACAGGTGATTGAATGAATATGTATTGGGTGATAAATACAAATGATGCCTTTTAACAGCCCCTGCAATCCAATCCACGTAGAAACAGCCAACATGGATTTTACTGACGTGCTATACGGATTCAATGTGGGTGTGGATTGGTTGTGTACGATGTAAACAACACTAGCATCCGATACCCCCTCTCCCTATAAGGTAGAGGTACCCACTCCCCCTATTGATAGAGGTGCATGCTTATTTCAATCGGGGAGTTGTCTGCTGTGAGAGGAGGAGATGCAGTGAGAATCAAGATACATGTATTCTCATCCCGAGATACTCATAGGGCATGTTACTATTATTTCACTCATACTGTAAAGCTTGGGTGGGAGTGGGCATATAAGACATTTGGTACGCCGTTAAAGAACATTGTTTTATTGGCATGGCCCTTATTACCTTCTGGATCCACCAGTGTATCCGGTTGTACTCCGAGCTCTCCCTTTTCTGTCAGAGATTTCCGATTATTTTCGGTCTTATTTTTGGACGTGTGTAAAGGGCATGCGGCAATTTTTGGACGTGTATGTTAAGATGGCCAAGGGGCAATTTTTGGACGTATACGTTAATTTGGACATGGATGGGCAAAGGAGAACTATTTTAAACATGTATGCTCAGGTCGGCATGGGACCATTTGGACCTCCATGTGACAAATTTTCCATCTGATTCTGGATGTTGAGTCGGGCATAGGAGAACGTGTTGGACATCTATGTGCATGACGTCAGAGATACGTATGCAAGCCTGCATGTAAAACATGAAAATTTATTAAGTAAATTCTTGTTTAAATATTTATTATTTACAAATACTATTTTACATATTCACAGAGTTTACAACATACTGTATATCTAAGTTAAGGGTAAATCATCCCCATTAAAAACAAGAAACCAGTGTAGATTCAAGTTGATACGCTTAATACTAATCGATTTCTTACATTATATATTAATGAACATTACCAATATACAGGGTGACCAAAAGTGAACTTTTAACATTTGATCAAATAGGCTTTGTTCTCTCTATTTCAGAAGCGAATCAACCCATGCATTCAGTTATCACCAAGTGATGAACTTGAAGAAATATAAAGTATACTCATTTTTATCGAGCAACTAGCAGGTTCTATATCGAGATTCTTCGAGAAAAGACACGTGAATCTAAGCTTTTGCTTGGTCACATCCGGGCAACTCGCGAGACTTCGTCTCTAACCCAATCAGAAGTTTCCAATTTGAATGACACTGCATATCACAAGTCTCGGAACATATTTTTATATATACCTTAAATATAATACAAATATATTTACAAAGGGTATGCACTATGCATTCATATAGCTACATGTACCATGCCTGACGCCAGGGATGGTGCACATGAGGGGAGGAAGGGGGGGGGGGGCGTATGAATTAAATTATCATGTATATACTTTTTTGACTGGCAGCGGGTATTGGTATACTGCAAATGTTAACATTTAGTTTAGAGGTATATTGAACACTTTTATTTTGGCATATATTTACCCTGTTAAGCTGTTAATACTCGTTGGGAGTTTGGAAGTTGAGCCAACAAATAAAAGATAGTACGCTCTCAAACTCCTAAACAATCATTGTCCGTACTAACAGATAACGGGAGTGGAATTGTCAATTTAACTTGATTATTCCCCAAAAGTCCGTCGTCGGCCTATTGGTAATACTTGAGTAAATTCTCCTGGAATCCCTGATGGATAGAATTTGACCTGCCTTGATGTGTCTTGGAGAACTTATATAACACGATCTGTCTCTCGTGCTCGCCTTTTCTTTGGTGTTTGGTACAGCATTTTTGTCTTTATTTGGTTCAGTATCCACACCGGTTGTGCATTCAAGAATATTTGTTTCACCATCAACTCCAAGGAAAACGCCCATTGTGTTTTCAGCCATTGTTGTTTTGAACGTTACCTTAAAAGTAACAAAATACAATTCTGATTTATATTGTATTCCAGGCCCTCGGGAAAGCAGCCTTGGTGGTGGAACATTACAATAATATTGGATCATTAATTCTTTCTTTCCAAACGGACGTCGTTCTCTATTGCAATTGCAATTTGTATCCTAGATACAAACTGATGTTGCTAGGTGACACTATATCCCCTAGTTACAAACCCAGTACACACACACCTTTGAGACTCTCACCTGGGCATATATCAGGTAGAACCCCTCATCTTTGACTTTAAGCAATCCATCCTTGTAGGACACGCGGTCTTTAGCTTCATCCGTAACCCAATCGGCGAATTTCCATAATTTGTAAAGTCCATCTGAAAGTTGGTAACATTAATCACCTTTTATGATTTCAAAACCTTGCATAAAGTCGGGTGTTCTATGTTTCTAATTCTTGTTCTACTCGTGAGGTGTACCCATGCCTTGATGAAAGACTTGAGAGAGTTATACGTATTTTGATAAATATTACCATTTGCATACATTGCAATAAGTTAAAATTTCTATTCTGGGTTATTAAGAATCATCAGAACGATATTTGCAATTAATTATTTAAATTAAAAAAAAAAAATTCTTGTACTACATTAAATGCAACTAATATATATCATTAAATACGTATTTATGATGATATATGATGATACGATGTTGTATGATATGTGATGTGTAGCCTTATATGATATGCTTGACCTTCTCATATTCGACTTCACACTAAAACAAAAATAGAGACTCGAATATTGTATTAAATTATGTATCTAATGAAGTAATTAAAAATTCCGTCGCAAAACCTTTTCGAAAGTTTGAATAATTTTGAATAAAGTTTGACTTATGATACTATTTTTACTTATAATTTACATGTATGAATAGTTACACGTTTAATGCGCACCTTCTCCATTTACAACTACCCACAGTTACCCAGTAATAGGCCAAATAAAGGAAAGTCATAAACACCCTTTCTAATACTTGCTTCATCGTACAAGCAGTCATCATTAATAAACTCCTAGGCCTCAAGGATTTAAGGGCCTAACCACCCCTGGGATGATCTGATTAATAATCCCAACCCGTCCCCGACAAATGTCAAGACACAGTTCAGGACAAAATGAATCTCAGATATTTTATCACGTAATTTTACAAGGCTGTCGGGATAGTCACATTTAGAAACATCTTTATCCCCGTAGTAGCAGATCTCCCCTGGGAACCACCCATTGCTTATGACATAAGATATAAAGTTATAGCTAGGCCTATAGTATTTTTGGAAACTAGACTAATGGCGACATTAAAATACCGGAACCTTTTTTAACTTTGTAAACACAGACATTCAAAAATAAATCTCGCGAATTATTTGATTTAAAGCATATGTATATTTTAAGTACACCAATTGATAATATTGTGGTATTGACATGATTGACCCGTTTGCCCTTGTAACATTGTGACACTCAACGATAATAAATGTTTAGTTTCGTTTTGATTTGGCGGACATCCAGATTCCACTTATACTCAGTTCTAAACATAAAACTTTTTGTTTATTTATACCGATAGAACTGCCAGTCGAAAGGGTTGAAGGTGATCCTGAAAAATATTTCATTCAGAGCAACTCGGAAATCGAAATTTTGTATGTTCATATCTAAACAAATCATATGATGACATCTATTTCATAAGCAGTTAGGTTTATTATCATGTTTGATTGTTTACTTAAAACATATCGTTGATACACTCTAATGTAAGTTTAAGCTGGGTTCCTCGATCGTTGAATTGAAGTCCACTTGAAAGATAAGTAATATCATAATAATTGTGTTCCGATATGTTATTTCTTATTTTAAAGTAAACTATCAGCTGCCAGCTGTGTTTTTATTTATTTCAAAGTCAATTCACATTATACAGTCCAAAGTCCTAGGTGTATTATTTTTGTATGCCCGCGGTACAAGTGAATTGCGTAATATTTTAATGAGTTTCCGCCCCGGGTATCACAAAAAGAAAAAACAATAAGCCCTGCAGTGCAAATTACATGCTCATGTGTTTTAAACTCACTTAAACTCACATAATTCTTTTGGAAGACATTACGGTTTATTGCAATCGAACTCCTGTGGTGCACTAGCAACTATTCGACGTGGTTGACACACGTAGTTAGCCGACAAGATTGACATATCATAATTAGCGGTGTAAAATACGCTTGAATGGGCTGTTTTTGTTGAAAACGTGTGACCATGTAATTTTCACCGCAGGGGCTTATTGTTATTTTTAGTGATATCTGGGGGAGAATCTATCAAATTTTATGCAACTGACTTGCACCGCGGGCAGTTAAAAACGCAGCCTTAAAGTCTTATTTAAAGCGTGGTGATAAAAGCAAGGGAGAATAATGTAGAAAGCGTCTTCTTAAATAACAGGCAGTCAAAATATTTGAATAAAGCCGATAGTAAACTGAGTGTATGCGTTGTTTTGAATTGAACCATATTTTTAGATATTATAAAAGCTTTTGAACATATTAGCAGGGACACATTACTTAATTTTTCTAAATAGATGGAAGCGTGTGTTATGTGACTCGTAGACATGGCGATAATTGGAACTACTATATTTTGGCAAATAATGCAATTTCGAGGGATATCGAGGAAGCATTTATTTGATTGTGGTGTCAAGCAAGGATGTGTCCTTTTGCCAACCACTTTGAGTTATATGGAATGACCCTATGGAAAAACATAAGAATCCTTTTAATTTTGTTGAATATTCAAGCAATTCCAAACAATTTCCACCAATGTATGTCACCAAATAAATGTGACTCTCTTTCATCTATAAGAGGCAACAAGTATATTTCAACATTCTGCCCTATGAGAATAAATATGTCCCAACTCACATTTTTGTGAAACTGTGAAATCAATATTTGAAAGTTTTGGCATCTGTAACTGAAATTTTTACATTATTTTTATCAATAATTTGTGTATATACACTAAAGAATTCATGAATTTTAAGATTTTCTAAGCCAACATCGAAAGATTAAAGCTAGGCTATGTCCACTTTGCTATGTATTTTCAATGGACACACATTTCTCTATCATTTTTTTCAAAAATAAATTCAAATCTCCGTTTAAAATTGTAATATAATAATTCTTGGTCTCATGGTGTAATTCAAACAATTTATTGGTTAAAGTGATACATAGAAAAAAGTTAAATTGTATTTTTGAATTTTTTATGGAGTTAGGACAATTTGACACTGATAAGCAGGCTATTGAGAGGAGATGAAGGTAAGGGAATATCACAGGAAGGAAGAGGATTATTTAAATAGTGGAAATCTGTGAAAATCTCAATTTTTTCAAAAATGGCACTTGGGACATCATTATTCTCATACGACGATTGAGAAATGGATGATCAATTGAATCAACTTTATTGTTTATACACCGTTGTTCATTTGAACTATTTTCCAATTTACCATTGATTGCCTCGATTTTATGTGGTCTCAAATCTAAATGGATGAAGGTTTTTCACAATCTGGAGTGCCAAATATTCCATATATATGAGCAACGGTGTAATATATGAACAAATCTTAATTTTGTACAAAGTTCAGTTATTGCGATCGATCCCATATCACTCCAAACAATCTAAGTACACGATTTTGACATGCCCACTTCACAATTTGTAGATAATAGTGCCTGGCAATTTATATGCAATGCAGATATTTATTCAAAATCAAAGTCGAACGACGTATTTCAAAAACGTATGGTAGTGTTTAACCATAATATAAATGATCTTCAAGAAATTCCGTATCCACTTCTTGGAAAACAACTTAAATAAGTTTTTGAATCATTCGTGTGTTTTTGAATTAATTCATTCCTCATTCCCGAACTTTGATATATTATGAATCGCAGAGTCTTACATAGGAAGAATTTTAACTAGAGAAACATTCCATTTACTCTCAAATTTCCCATATAGCTTCTAATTTGCGCATGTTTAATCAAGATTAAGGTTCGGATAATTTCAAGCTTACAAAAACATCATCATTCGAGTCCGGAAGTTAAGACCTAGTCATTTCTGACGGATAATTCTTGCTAAAAACTCTCGTCTGATCTTAGTGCGCATGGCATTATGGGAAAATAGCGGGTATTCTACAAGAGTCCTTAACCCCTCTGATTTTCAGCATATTCCCGAAAAAGCTCCTAGAAGATAAGCATGAGGTATATTCAAAGCCTTATCAGATTTTTAAAAAGGTGCTTATTTTACAATCAGAGAAAATGTGTGAAAATGCGTAAAAGAAGCACTACTGTTGTTATGGTAGCGGAATGCTTACCAATGCACGCTAGACCTGTTGCCAAACTATATTTGCAAGATGTACCATGAATTGTATACTTAGGACTAAGCTCACCTTCTGGAACAAAAGAAAATCCATGTCATCAAATATTTCATTGCTATCTTAAAGTGTGTTTGTGCTTTCTTCAAGTTACTTTTTGCAAACCCGAGATCCACAATAACAACATTTGGAACACACAGACACGAGATTCACCAATATTTTTGACAATGTGTACGTGAAATTCAATATTCAAATCATATCAGCTAATGCCAAGGATATGATTTCAACTGCCCAAATTATTTATCAAAATATTACCTGGTCATTATACGTATACCTAAAGGGTGTCCCCAAAATGTGTACCCAAATGAAACGGAAATTACTTTCATCGTAAATAGTTTTATCAACTTTTACTTTTCTATGTTACTTTTACATGATAAAGAAAACTCATTTTTATGCTACCTAAAAAAGTGGTGGAATTTTGTTATCAGCCTATGGCCTCCAACATTTTTGTGACGGCAGTCGTCGTTCGCCGTCTGTAACAAATTCTTAAAACTTCCAATAACTTACCAAGTACTGTTTAGACTGACTTCAATATTTTCAAAATCATCTACAAATTGTCAAAAGTTCAAATCTGACCTTAAATGACTTTCTCAAGGTCAAAAAGTTTTTTCAACTTACTTCAAATTGACCAATATTTATTCAAATCATGTACAAGTTCTAAGAAGTTCAAATCTGACTTTAGATTTGAACCAACTATTGTGACCAACTAGGTGTTGTCCTTTTGTCATGTTAATGCGCCTTGTTTAATTCGCAGTTACAAATTCATAGAATATGTAAATTACTTCCTGACATTCTTTTCATATTTAAGATGACATGCTCTAAATAATCTCCATCATGATCGATGCAGAACTGAAAAATTGGTGATTCTACTAAAACAAGTTTTTCTCTAAAACTGAGTACAGTTACCAGGTGACACTTTCAGATATTTATGATAATATTGTCTGTCAGTCAGATGACTATATCAATGAAATAAATAAATAAAAAAAATAAAAAAAAGTCAGATGACTTTATTTCGCCCAGAAAGTTATTTTACATATGTCTTGGTACAACATTGAAATATTGACGGTGGTACTAAAATTTGCTTTTCTCTAAAATTGAATAAAGTTACTTAATGAAACTTTCAGATATTTATGAAAATTTTTCAGATGACCTAGTTTCAAGAATATTTCTTTATCACACATGCACAGAGTCATTCCGTGTTTGTCTTGGTACAATCTTTTTGGGGACACCTACTATGACGTCATTATATCAATGAAATTACCTACTTATCATATTTCATGAATAACTATATCAAGTATTATCATGCTATCATGCTCCCAACTAAAAAAAATTACACTGTATTAAAAGCTTGACAGTTATTGCTTTCTGTCAGTTGTGTATTACTAAAACTAAAGATGTGTACTTGCCTTCCATTTTGTCCATATATGGCTCCTCGTTAGCTTCTAAGTGGATTATGACATTGTGCTAAACAGAAAGACATATTGATTTAAACGAGAAACTGAATTATGACATGGTGCTAAACAAAAAGACACATTGATTTAAACGAGAAACTGAATTATGACATTGTGCTAAACAGACAGACACATTGATTTAAACGAGAAACTGAATTATGATATTGTGCTAAACAGAAAGACATATTGATTTAAACGAGAAACTGAATTATGACATTGTGCTAAACAGAAAGACACATTGATTGAAACGAGAAACTGAATTATTACATAGTGCTAAACAGAAAGACACATTGATTTAAATAAACAAGAAACTGAATTATGACATTGTGCTAAACAGAAATACACATTGATTGAAACTAGAAACTGAATTATGACATTGTGGTAAACAGAAAGACACATTGATCTAAACGAGAAACTGATTTATGACATTGTGCTAAACAGAAAGACACTTTGATTTAAACGAGAAACTGACATGAAGAGCAATTTGAAAACGTGTTCAGGTTACCTATACAAAAATATCAAAATATGCTAATAACATGTGCATTTTAAACATTTTATTTGATCCATTTGTTATTTTTTTGACAGACCAGTTTTTTTCAATTCACGTAGTATTTTAAATATATGCAGTTATCCTAAAGTACTGGGGCCTACATTGAGCATGAACTTGAACAAGTAGAAAGAGGAAAATTAAAATAGGCAAATGACTCCCTACGAATAAGTGACACGACTTCTATTTTGTCTAATTTCTTATTTTTTTTATTTAAACATATCATACAAATAGATAGCTGAAAAGTTGCAATAGCAAAATAATTTCATATTTTCCATAAATAGTAAGTTCATTTTTAACAATGAGTTTTGTAAAATGTTAAAACTTTATAATAGCTTACATAAATCGAAATTCCGAGACTTCTATACATTTTATAAAAATCCTACTGTAGGAATCATTTCATTCATAAAAACATTTCGTGAATATTCGCTGCAACAGAAAACAGCATGGTCAAAGTGAAAAGTGATAGGACACTACGTACTGGCCAAATGTCAAGGACAGAATAAAGTCCATTAAGATCGGTAATTGGATTAAGAAGAATGTCATTTAACCTTTTGATTCTTGTCTTGTGTGCCGGCAGGAAGAACAGTTGCTGCAGGTTTTGGTAGTGTATCGATCTGCTTCTTGACCTCTGCCGGCACCCGTTTGGAAAGCTCCTTCACAAGTTCTGCAATGAAATTACAATACACCTTATGTTTTTCATAGAACCAACATACGTTAACTTTTTGTATTTCGATCTCGACCCTTTCTTAACTTCTATGTGTAACCTGCAGAGATAATGTCATGGGCTGTCTATTATTGACTTTTTGTCACATCTATAAACAACCATTATTTTGATTTACACCACAGTTATTACCATAATTCTTCAAAAATTGTCATGTACTGTCTTGTGTTTGTTTTTTGTTTGTATTTTATCATACAGCTTAGAGCTAGCATTCTGGTATGCCAGAGCCACTCTTATTATGTTATCTACCGTTTGCGAGAAACTTTGGAAGCATAAAGACACCTGTGCATTCATTGTCTTTAAGTTTATGCCTTGGAAGAAGTTAGCCATAATCATATCTATGTTATGGTTAAGATGAAAACTTTGTAAAACACAAACTATTATAATCCTTGGGGCCATTAACAGAAACTTTGTAAAGTTAAGTCATTATATCCATGGTTATAACAATAGATTTACGAATTCGTAACTTTACAAAGTTTCTGATAGATATTAACAGCGCATCTCGTGGCAAAGTTGGGTATCGATTCGGACATATTTCCGACGCAGCAAATAGTTTTTTGAAATTCTACTACATAATACAATCATGTGTATGATCACTTAAGTAAATTAAATACTTTTTGTCATAATTTTGTAAATACTCAGTCAAATATTTAGATGTACTAGTATAAAGGGTGCCAATAAAGTCTCTTTACACTTTACCAACTTTGTCTTGGTAGTGTAAAGAGACTTCATGGACACCCTGTACAACAAAGGGACTGTTATCATGGGAAAGGGGACTGTTATCATGAGAACCATACATACCCTTTTTGAGACACTTATTATATCGCTTGCACTTGTCCCTCTTCTTCTTTACTCGGGGCTTTTTTGTTGGTGCGACAGTGCTGCCATCTTCCACTTCTCGCCTCACCCTAAGCTGGTGTATGGAGCTGTGTACGTTTCTAAGCCCAGGCCTTATGGCTTGCGATGAAGCATTGTTTTGAGGCTGGAAACAACATTTTATTTTTTATAGTTTACTTCTCACATCCATAGATTTTGCATTTATTGAACAATAATTTCATAGGCTAGGGTCAAAGAGCAATATTTTACAAGGACAATGAGAAGAGCAATAACAATTGTAATCTCTACGACACTAAATACGACTTCAAAAATTATGGCACTAATATTCTTTGGTTTTAAGCGTCGTGTCTCGTCTTCACCAACGCCATTCGAGATTGGTACGATCAATAATCATAGGGTGATGGATCCTTTTTGCTGAACCGATTCTACAACCACTGAAACGCCGGTTACATGGGTTATTCAACCATGAGTGATCACCATTACAATGGGAAGCGCCTGTCAGGTTAGTTATTTGACGGACTGTTCATTACATATATGAGTTCAAAGTATAACATGGGTCTAGACTCTACAACAATGCTAGGCCTATACACATTCTGACCAAGTACAATTAGAGAGTGATTTACCACCGCCATAGAGAATAAACATAATTTAATAAGTATATAGTTCGCCAACTCATTTAAATATGAATGAAATAGTGGCAGGTTCAATTTATATTTAAATGAGTTGCCCATAAAATAGTAGGTTAATCCGGAAGCCGACAGACGTTAGGCAGTGCATTCGAGCCACAAGCTTGCATCAAATGAGCCATAGCGCGTTTTTGCGAAAGGATAGCCAAAGATTTTACATGATTCTCAAGTGGCCGTCCGGGGTACTAACCCGAGAGTGTGCCATAGCCACTTCCTAACAGATGGAAACACGTTCAAATGGAACTATATCATATACTTATACATGTTACACAAACGTTGATACAAACTTCTAAACGTGTTAATAATTAATATAGTTTTAACATTAAAACGTGTCAATTATCTGATTCAAATAAGTGTTAAAACAAGCGTTGTTTTGGCGTTTCTAATTTTTAGAGTATACATCTACTTATACATGTTATAACAGACGAAACGTGTAGATCCTGGTGATCAAAACGAAACTAATTTCTAACTAGTCCAGGGTCTTAAGTATAAATAACATTTGAGTTTTGAAGATATTTTATGTGTTAGCCCAGAGGAATGTAAATAACCATGTGACAGTTATGTTCAATGGTATACAGCAGTATTATTTAGATGACTCCGTTTCAAAAAGAAAACTGTACAGTGTCCTCTTTCTCCCTCGGGAGACAATGGGATATTTTGGCTACACAAAAAATCCTCATTAAAAAATTATAGGTACAAGCGCAAAAGGATAACACTAATAAGAATTAAAACACAGTTATAAAAAGGAACATCCAAAATGACTACAATTGGTCATAAAGAATAAAACCCCAGTATCTCAAATAATAAGCTGAAATGCACCAATCACTCCAAACAAACCATTCAGATCTTCGTAAAAAATCATAACAGCATTAGACATTTCATTCAAAATGAAGTTATAACTAACAATACACTGCGTTTTAAACGCCAACCTATACGTATGACCAATCGCCCATACAAGTGCATCGCTTAAATATTTTCCGTTCACGTTTAGATTGTGAAAAACATTGCAAGCTTAAACTTCCTAATATGAGACAATGGGACATAAATAAAGTCGTAACTGTTACAATACACATACGATTATATTCGAAATAATCAACACAAACCTTGTCCACTTTAATATGAGATGATTCTTCATTCAGTGGTGGTACATCATTTTGTATATTTGATTGAGACTGAGAAAGAAATAGATGTCCGCTGGTTGTATCACAACGTAAAGTATTTGTGTATATTACAACAATGCAGCCAGCCACCACAAAAGTCAATATAATACAATACACCAACAAAAGTCGTATTCCTGTCCATAGCACGTGTATCTGTTTTTGTATTACATCCAAATCATCCGGAGACAATTTCATTTTTGGTAATAAATCTTCTTTTGATGATGTTGTATCCATGCTTCATTTATATTGTTAATGGCGTAATAAGGTTAAGTCGGCCTAACACGAAGCCTAACTTAGTAGTCTCGATAGATCCCCAAACACTTCTGGGACATCTGGTCTGCTTTGAATTTGTATTTTATTTCAATACTTCTGGTTAATGAAGAACTTAAGTCAAGAAACAAGAGGGTGAGCTATCCCATCATTCACGACAGGTCCTACAATCACGTGACCCGGAAATGTTTTTGCAACGATTCAATTTCATATGCTTATCTAAACATATAACACATATTTTAATTACAAAAGTATATCAAAAACGATAAAATGTGTGACAATAAACGTGAGCATTTAGAACTTAACGAAGGTGATGTAAAAAGGTCCAGGATGTGATGCCCTCAGCCAATAGCAAATACCGTTTACCTTGTTAAGACATGGTGGCTTTTATGCTTCGGTATTTTATTTACCCTTGTAATCCCCTTTATAAATAATTCTTAGTTTGCTATTTCAAACTTAATTTTTTCTAGCTTAGAATAAGGCAATTGTGAAATTCTTCTAGCATGTTTCAGGAGATTTAGTGTCTACAATTGTGGGACTATTATATGCTAAATAAACAGATATTTTCGTTATAATTTGGATTAAGAAACGTTAAAAACAATTAGAAATATATGCGCAGGTATTGGTAGTTTTGCTTATTGGACCCTGGGAGTCGATAGTCCGCTTAATCTTAAGCACGCCCCTAATCTTTTGATTGACATTCATATGTTCCATATTTGGTAGATCTTCTACGAATTTCAAACCATTTCTGAGAAAAAAATGCCATGTTCTCCTATCAGTAAGCTTACCTACAATTGACAAAAGTGGTACATGGAGACTACTATTCACTATATTCAGACTTCAGAGCAACATGTTTAGATTACTCTTTTGAACGGCCTTGAAAAAGTTGACAATGAAAATAGTCCTAAGGCTACTGGCCTATTTCTTGATGCTATTCAGGGTCTTTCAACTTTGATCTGAATAGACCCATGGGAGTACCCAGGTTCAACAAGACATGAGTGTGACATTGCTTTAATAGCACCGCTCAATCCGTGGTTTTATAGAAGTACTCACTGATATAATGTAGATTGTTTTACCTCTATTACATGGTGAAAACACTATATATCGGTCTAGTAAATTCCATTTTGTGCCCCAAATGGTATAACTAGAAAATGGCAACTCCACGGAGTAGCAAATCCCAACGAACACTATATAAATCATCAATCTGTACAGTCACAATGGAATATTTAGCATCTACTCTTACCTTCAATAAATATTTTAAATCATGTAACCATACTTTCAAGATAACTCTAAGTAATGGCGAATTTCTGCTCCAGTCAGCTATTTTGAATTTTCAGAGGCGCAAATCAGAAAAACAATGCCATAATTGTGATCTACTCTGAAATTCCTTCAATTTGAGTATAATATAGCCATACTTTTAAGAGATCAGAAAACAATTGCGAAATCCCGCATTAGGCGGCCATTTTGAATTTTTTGAGGCGCGAATCAGAAAAACGTTACAATATTTGCAATCTACTCTAAGTTGCCTTTCATTTGAGTATAATAAAGCTATACTTCAAAAACATCTCAAAATTAACGCAAATTCCTGTTTTCCCGATCCCCCATTTACGGCCCCTGGGGGTCAGGGTGAAAAACCCGGGATATATGTGAAATAGATAGATGATGTTAATATACTACCAAAATTTCAAATAATAATATTTAGTATTATTTCGGTTCAAAATGAAAAACATAAGATTTTTGCGAAAAATTCCCGCCATTTTTAAACTGGCGGCCAAATTTTTGCGTAAAACTGTTCACCAATATACATCTTTCCACCAAATATGAAGAAAATCTGTTGACTAGTATTCTAGTTATCTTCCGGACAGACGGACGGACTGACTGACGGACAGACGGAGGGCTTCACTATATCCCTACAGAACTTCGTTCGTTGGGATAATTACCGCCCACAAAGTGTTACCATTTGCCTCGATTTATCAGTTTATAGGGACGGATAAAACTAATAACCTTCCCACTACAGTTGACATGAGAAAGTGCGCTTATCCCAGGCGTACTGCACGAAACGACAAATTCCCGGGTATTGTAACGCCCTTGGGTGTACTGCCTAATTTTTGGAAAGCAGCCTTAGTGTGTTTTTCTGAAATATAATTGCAATCCAGTCTTGTTGAAAAACTTGAAAATGCGACCATTTTTGAAACATCAGCATTTCCTGGAGTTAAAAATAAATCTTTAACCAAGTTTACAAAAAGAAGACAATGCGATGATACTTTCCTGGAAAAGGCAAGGAAATTTGCACCACCACATCAAAATACGCAGATAAAGCAATTTTTTATGCTGTTAACATATATCGCATATCAAAGCCTGTTGATGCTTGAATCTTGTTCTTTGAATACAAAAAAATAACAATATACAAAAAATATAAAAATATGACAAGTACTGTATTTAACTTTATTTTAAAATCGCCAAACAGAAACCTTAATGTTGCCAAGGGAGACTTCGACTTCCGTTTGATAAAATTTTGCATGGGAGCGAACACTGGGTATTTAACATGATAACAATTTAAATCGTAAAGTAAAAGTCGAGGTAACAAATTAATTTTAAACGTGTTTACATGTTGGTACGATATAATAGCTTTTTGCAATGCACAAGTGTTACGAGCACATGTTGAAAGGTAAGGGCGACTAGGTCAATCCGTTTTTTCTCTTGTGAAGCACATTAAATATTTACCTTGCGATAGCGATGAGAGATATCATACAATAAAAAGGGATCAGCCACCTTTTTACGTTATATTAAAAGAGATATTTTTAATGAATAGCCCAGAAGTATTTCGTATTTGGCGCGTTTATTTCTTAGGATGTACTATTGATATTGACATTTTGAAGCATTTAAGATAATCTTCATAGCATAACTTGGGGGTTTCATTGTATTGCATTTAGGGCACTCTCAACTCTGATCATGAAATAAACAATACACTCAAGGTCACGTTGACACATTTTTGTTGCTCTTTGGGGGTCAACGAGTACTCCATCATTTCTCAGAAAACTATTTAGTGAACATAATTCCCTTTTGCCAGGGACAGGGGTATTGCGAGGTTCTAAAATACCACCGATATTTTTCTATAACATTTCAAAGTAATCCCGCCTCGTGGCTGGATACGTCCACGACCGAGTGTTAGAACATCAATCCAAATTCATAATACTTTATATCTTGGTCACATTTGCTCTGATTCATCGGCCAGCGCCCGGCCGATTGAGTATTCTGTTCAAAACTGAATACAATTGTGACCAGGATACTCAATCGGCCGGGCGCTGGCCGATGAATCGGATCAAATTGGACCCAGGCATTAGAGTGGCTCAACTTGATACAGAAGGTGAACAAAATAAAACTTCTCAATTTTGGTACTTTTTGTACAAGGGTTGAAAATCGCCCGTAATTTTTTCAAGTTGTTTCGCCAACCACATGGTCCTACTTTACATGCTTTAATCGGAGGTAAATAATGAAGTGCTGTAAGGGCGGACGTGGGAACCAACAAGGGGGGAGGCAAATTTCAGGTGAGAGAAAAAACCTCCGCGCCCTAAAAGCCTAAAGTCGGCCAAATTTTGACGGCCATTTTCTTCAAAAGTTGGCCTAAAATTAAAAAATTAGGCCTTAAAAGCCCCACTTATGACCAAAAAGGGCCACTTTTCGGGGCCTTTTTGCCCCCAAATTTTTGTTGGGCCCAATTTTTTTTCTGGGCGCCCCCCCCCAGATCCGCCAGTGTGCAATTTCATTGAAGCTAGTTTTATTCTACCTTCCTGTACTTGAAATGCGACACCCCAGAAATATCCCGTCTCATTTAGGCTGCATCGTTTTTTAACTAAATATAACTACATGCATATGGTGAAAGCGAATGAAATAAAATTATTTTAAAAATATGAAAAATGGGAGGAGCGAGAAAAATGGGCGGGACATATTAAAAAACGTATTTTAAAATGAATTCTCCTTATGACTTTCGCGGTGCATATGTAAGCCAAACGAAGCTCTGCAAGGGAGAGTACATTTGGCGTAAATCCAATTCGAAGAACACAGCTCAATCTAGGCAATTACAAGCAAAAGGGCTGCAGACAAACCAAATGCACCCTACTTTAACTGTAGTTTAGCACACAAGAGTGTTTTTGAAACAGATTCAACATTAAAGTCCGCCTTAGTACATGAACGAAAACTCCAGACGTCAACTCAGGTGTACTAGCGATAAGGACTTGAGTAAAATTCGTTCCCATTCACATTCACAGTCTACACAGTTATAATTTGGGGCAATCCAAAATCATCATCTATATCATCATGGGGCTTGCCCTAAATCATAATACTGACTACATGTGTTACAATAAGAAAACGTACGTTGTGTACATCGTTGTTGGGGTATTCGTATGCAAAAGTACCCTTTCGGAAAGCTTCTTAACATGCGCAAAGTTGCGCTTCGGTTCGCATGTTTACGTTCCTAATCACCAGAATTGACAATTTACCCAATTCATAAGCTGCATTTAGTGATTCGTTCATGTGTTGGGAGGCCTTTAAACGAAAACTAAATCAGAAACCCCCAGATAGGATTATTAGCTTCCCCTGAAAGGTTTCATTCGGGGACTTAGGTGATACAGGTAGGTAACTTAAACATTTATCATTGTAAAACGAAAGTTGTTGCAGTTTAACCTAGAGTTAAACCCATTTAACCCAATCTCCTTACTGCCTAAGCCCCACTTACCCCGCAATCACATTTTGAATGAATCCACTAAACGCAGTCTTGCGAACTGGATAAATTCTCAATTCTCAAATCTTTGCGAATGCTTCCGAAGCCGTCCGAAGAGATACTTACACATACAAACACCACAATTAGCGTACATCAATTACTAGTAATGGGAACGGGTTTTACTCGAGACCTATTCCCCAGTACACGGAAGTTGACGTTGGGCGGCTTTCGTAAACATGTGAGGAGGTCTTTGCATTCTAAAAGTATATACATTCAATGGAACGCACTGAACGAACCCCTGCGAACTGATGATCGACTTTATAGTTAAGGTTGACAAAGACGTTTCCTATTGCATCTATTTATAGAATGGTGTTAAAGGATGTAGATGACCTTCTGCACCAAAAACACAATCGTATGATCGTTTTTTCTTAGAATTATGTCTCATTTGACAGTTTGTTCTTTGGAATCGCTATAGGAGAGTGCATAGCCAATATCTATTCAATCAAATGTAAACTTAGAAAATTTGGTGCAATGGAATTTCGCGATTTCAGTGAATTTTCTTAAAGAAGGACTATGTAAGACTGTAAGTACTAGGCCTAGTATTGCAAATCATCTTTAATGTCATTGTGTATACTTATCAAAACTCCCAGTCAATCGCATTTTTATTTGGTCAAGCCAAAATCAGTTTTGTTATTCTTCTTTCCTTAAATTCATGCAGTAAAGCCTGTGTACAGTGAACACATATGGAGCCACAAAAAAGTGTTCACTATATGGTGTTCACTACTGAGAGTCGAGTTTATACACAAGACAGTGGAGTATATGCTGAGAAGAGCTAGATGTGTTCACTAGACACAGGTGTTCACTAGAGAGAAGTGTTCACTAAGACAGGTTTTACAGTAATATAATTTGGGCCAAAATCAAACTGCTATTGACAGCTTTCGTCAAATTAGTTGATTTGAAGATGTTTTGAAATCCGTTTCCAACACCAAAAGCCGTTAATCTTCATTCAGGTCATTAGTTTTTGAGATAATGACACATTCAAAAAACTTATTAATTGGCCTCAGGACCTACTCACTGCTACTATAGCATATCAGTACATGGCTGTAGGTACGAAGTCCATATAAAGGTGGCAGCATTGGTCTGAATAGACAGACACTACTGCCATCTTTTAATCACCCTAGTCCTTGACTACAAAGCACCAAAAACAGATTCTATCATTGCCACCTATTAAGAGTCAGGATCTAGTTTTTCATTTATCTCATTCCCAGAATCTTCCGTGAGTTGTAGCAGCTCAGAAATGTTTTCTCCTTTCGCCTGTCTTTTAACTTTCTCTAACTTTTTCTTTAATATCTCCACCTCCCTTTTCAAAATAGTTTTTTCTGTATGAGGCTTGGAAGCCTTTTTGACAAGGTCAATATGGCTGAGTTTCTGATTGTTGGTAAATTTGGAAGGAGTATAAGGTTTGTTTTCCTCCCTCCATTTTCTTTTTCGTAAAGTGCTTCTATACATTTGGCACCAGCGACATCGTAACGCCCGACTTCCGAGTGTATTCCTAATAAGAAGATCACATTTTTTTGAGCGGATGCAGTTTGTATGAAATCCAGTCTCAAGATAAGCAATGTATTCCTGGTTATCCCTATCTGTGCTTTCACCTAATCCTACTCTAGGTGGTATATGTTTGGTAAACTCAGTTTCTGGATTTCCGCAACAAACATTTAATTGAGATAGTTCCAGTAAAACTTTGAAAATAGCTTCTTTTGTCGAGGTATATCGAGGAAAATGTTCCCAAATATTATGATTTGATTGAATCTCCTGACCATGAACTCGTATCTTTACTAAATAATCAGGAGAAACCATCACAGAAATCTTGCCGATTACTGGTTCCCCTTCATAATGTTCGATAAATTTAATCATTGCTGACTTACGCATAACTTCATACTGTCCTGGACAAGAGTCCATTTGTATTGCATCACGCAATTCACGATACTCTGTAGGGAATTCTGGTCCATATTCCTGCAATGGCACATCTTCCACATTGCAATCCTCAACAGGGAATGCTGGATCGTATGGCTCAGATGACACCTCTACAACTTTACAAAAGTCTGGAGTGAATTCTGGGCCATGAAGCTGCGATGGCACATTTTCCCCTTTAGAATTGTCTGGAGAGAATTCGGGGACATATTGCTGCAATTGCACATCTTCCAAATTACAATGCTCAGAAGGGAATTCTGGTCCATATGGCTGCGATCGCACATCTTCCACATTATAATCCTCAGAAGGGAAATCAGCTGGACCATATGGTTGGGATGACACATCTTCCACTTTACAATAGTCTGGAGGGAATTCTGGATCATATGGCTGTGATCGCACATCTTCCACTTTACAATAGTCTGGAGGGAATTCTGGATCATATGGCTGTGATCGCCCATCTTCTACTTTACAATAGTCTGGAGGGAATTCTGGGACGTATAGCTGCGATTGCACATCTCCTACTTTAGAATAGTCTGGAGGGAATTCGGAACCACATGGCTGTGATCGCACATCTTCTACTTTACAATAGTCTGGAGGGAATTCTGGATCATATGGCTGCGATTGCAAATCTTCCACTTCACAATACTCCGTAGCAAATTCTGGACCATAAGGCTGCGATGCCCCAGCTTCAACTTTACTAAAATCAAAAATTGAAAATCACTTGTATCTTTATGTTCAGAATCAGAACTCATCTAATGTGACACCTTTAATTATACACATTCCTCTTTTCCTCCCATATTTTAGATTTTGGCAGTCATTTTCAATTTTCTGTGTGAAGTACCATAGAATGACCATGCATTTATCATTAAACGTGACCCATTGTTATGAATATCACACTATGAATAGCAAAATGAACACTGTGTTATTTATCAAATTCAAAAACCAAATCAGGTACTCGGCAATCTACTTTTGTATCTGTAAAAATTTAAAGTTTTACGGGTAAGTAATTTTCCTGGAATTCTAAAGACAGGATTTTCTTGGTGTCACCTACACATCAGCCCGCCCAATAACACTCAATACAGCAATGTAGCCATACGTTTACTGTTAATATCAATGAAAATAAAAAGTTTTTGGTACCTACATTATATATTCAGTATCTGGAGCACAATAGCTGTGGTCGTCTATCACCCAAGAGCTGGAACCATAACTGAAACAAAAAGCTATTATATATTCAAATAATGATATATACCCCGAGTACAGAGGCTAGTTCTACTAAGTTACCTCTGAATACAGTTTAACAATTAAGTGTGCTCTGCCTGATGTACTGTGCTGGTGTTTTTCGCAACCTGGGACATAAATTAATTCAAACCAATATACACTGACATTTTATCAACCAATCAGTGAGCAGAAAGAAACATGAAAAGAAATTACGAACAGCATGAATGAATGAATCTCTGCGCTAAAGTCTGATGTGAAAAAGTCAGTCCACCCTCGTGGGATCGAACCCACGACCCCTCGCTGTCAAAAGATAAGATTGGGTTTAACACCACAAGATATCCGGAGGAAGGAGCACATTTAGCCTTGCCCGTTGTGTTTCGGCAATGGACTATTATGTATTACAGTCTCTTTGGATGCACACTTAATTTTAGTAGTGCCACTGCTGTAAAAGTGTTTTATCCTAATAAATAATTAAAATCAAAAATCAAATAAATATGTTTCAAATAATGTTCAATATTGGTAAATACTTGTGTTATCAATGACCAGAGGAACTGACCAGAGTTCAGAGGAGTGTAGACGAATCTATATTTTAAGAAGCTACACATACATGTAAGTCAAACAAATGCGATGGGTAAATGATAATAAAAAGCATGGATTACATTCTCCATCCTAAGTTGGAATTCTTGGATAATATTAGATACTACATTAAAAATAGAGAAGTATAGATGACATTATAGAAAGAGTCTAATACAAAGTAGTGTGAAACTTACTTTGTTGTATAATAATTATTTTCTTCAAAGCTTGAAGGCTCATCCTTGATGTTGTCATTTTTGATCATGTCATCTTTGGTAATATCATCTTTGGTGTCATCATTGGTGTTATCATATATGGTGTCATCATTGGTGATGTCATATTTGGTATCATCATTGGTGGTGGCATATTCGTTGGTGTCACATTCATCCAATAAATTGATACCAGGTGTCATAACATAACTGAAATGAAAGGTCATACAGCATACAGTTTTACATGTTATGTTTAGTTCTTAATAGTTGTCCTGAATATTGAATATTGGCAGAAATGTGTTGGAACTATTTTTTAAATATGTTGACAGTGAAAAGAACAGGTCCATTTAACAGACTATTGGTCCACTTAGACTTTTTCTGAAAAACTCATTCTTCCATTTACTTTTAAAACCGATTGCAAGTTGTAGATAAACCTTTCTTCTTGAGATGTGCAATTTCAAAAAGTGGCATAAGTTCTCTGTTTCTTTGAAAAATTGGCAGTAAGAACCCCTATCACAAGGCTGTCTGAATATGGGTACACATTATGTTTACCATCAAAATAATATCAAAACTTATCATTATATAGAATTTAATATGTGGAACATATGGCACACAAGTATTCGGAGAAGAAAATTCACAAGATCAAGCGATGTATGTAGTTTACCTATGGAAATCTAGAAAACATTGTTATTTTTCGTTCACTTTGTTATCAAGTTTTAGCATGGTGCTCATTCCCTTTCATTGAAAAATTAACCGTCAGCCCACACTCCCACAAAAAATATATTGAAACTGTATAATGCAGAGACTGTAAAGTAACTTCTCTGCAAATATCATTTTTGTGGGAGTTTGGGCTCACCACTAAAACTTAACTTTTGTGATGAAAATAAGCCTGACTGGTTTATGTTTTCAATATGGCTGCTAACCTGGGCATACATGTACACTACATAACTGCATGTACAGATTAGGCCATCCAAAATTAATTATATGTTGGCATTCTGATGAAGAGCCTTATATTAAAAACTACAAAACCTTCATTTATTTGAAGGGTTTTATATATTATTTAAGAGTGAAAATGCAATAACACATTGTGCCAAAGCAAGTAACACACCTCTTGAGTTCAGATGACCTTGTTAATGAAGTTTATATACATACAAGTTTTTAATCAATCTTGGAACTCATTTCGCTACAATATAATTCAAGATCACAATTCTCTTTGTCATTTATATACATTACAAGTAGAGAGTACATGGGGACATTTTGTTTTTTCTGAAAACCTAGAATTTAGTGACATTATTAAAAGAAAATATTTGAATGGCCTAAGTGTTTTTCTAAATAGGGAATAAGTAGAAATTATTTTAGGCAATCCTTTGAGTGTCATGCCATTCATACATGATGCTGCCTTATATTTTATGATATATATTGAGAAAGGATTTCTCTGAATTATTTGTGTTTCAAATATGGGAACTGCAAATTGGCAAATAACTTTAAAAGTAAGTGTACATTCAAACATTTTAATTTCAAATGCCAAATAAAATTCCAAATGCCAATGGGCATTTAGTAAAAGTGACTCTATAACTATTTAGAATATGGCAAACATGTTTAGAAAACTGGCAAGAAGCAATTGAAAAAAGAAAATCCATTCTTTTTGAAGTGCCCTTGTGTGCATTTAATTTCAGTCATTTTATCCTAATTGCCCATGGGCATTTAAAATAATAATCACATCCCAACTCTTAAAACATACTTAGGATACTGTTAGGGTCTCAAAAGGCAACAAGAACATTCATTTTTGAAACAAGAAAATTTAGTCCCCCTAAAAATGCCCATATTGGTATTTATTCTCAAGATTTTCAGGTAATTGCCCGTGATAATTTATTTAAAATTTTTTTTATTTCTATTCACATGTCTTTTTATCAGTCACAATCAAGATAAAGCCAATTGCTCTCATTTCTTGAATTAGAAACAGTCAAATTTTGACAAAAATAGCAACTCTCAAAGTTGACCTTTAAACAACCCTAGTGTCAAGGTCAAATGTCAAAACTCTCAGAAATCACATTTTAAGTAATGAGCCATACTTCCTCTTCAACTCCATGTCAATATATACTTGTTTTGTAGGGGGGCTAAAAGAGGGGTTTACCGCCACCTGTCCTTTGAAGTCTGTCTTAACAGTACTTGTTAAGGTATTGGAAGTTATTAGAACTAGTTACAGAATTTGTTACAGATGCTTTAAGAATTTGTTACAGCCACTGAATGCCAACCACCGATTTTTATGGTTTTTCAATGGAAATTTTAGGGAGCACATTCCATATTTCAAAAAAATTTATTCAAATTGTATGAATTGAAGAGGATTGTGTTTTATCAATACATAGTAGGATATGTCAGCTTTCCAACAAGATATAACAATTGTTAGTGGGAAATGTATATCAAAAGAACTAAGATGCGAAAGTTTGGATCTGGCATCCCTTACTCATCGAGCGATCATTCCATATTTTAAAAAATTATGATGGTTTTGGGATCCAATATCTTCAAATTGAATCAATTGAATAAGATTGTGTTTCTTTAAATACACAGAAGAATATGTCAGCTTTCCAACAAGATATAACACTTGTTAGTGGGAAATGTATATCCAAAGAACTAAGATGCGTTATTTGGATCCTGCACACCTTACGCACTGACCAATCATTCCATATTTTAAAATATCATGATGGTTTTGGGACCCAATATCTTCAAATTGAATCAATTAAATAAGATTGTGTTTATTGCAAAACACAGTAGAATATGTCAGCTTTCCAACAAGATATAACACTTGTTATTGGGAAATGTATATCCAAAGAACTAAAATGCGAAAGTTTGGATCTGGCACCCCTTACTCATCGAGTGATCATTCCATATTTTAAAATATTATGATGGTTTTGGGACCCAATATCTTCAAATTGAATCAATTGAATAAGATTGTGTTTCTTTCAATACACAGAAAAATATGTCAGCTTTCCAACAAGATATAACACTTGTTAGTGTGAAATATATATCCAAAGAACCAAGCAAGAGATTTAGGTCCTGGTACACACTCCATCACGCCAGAAAAATTATTTATTGGGAGATTTTGAGGTAATATTTCCAGCACATTTAGTAGGTTTTTAATGAAATAAACGGGCAATTATCAGGGTTACGTTATTCTCAATTTCATTATTAGCCGCAAACTTTACGGTTTCTGCTGGAATTGTCCTGAAATTCTCCTGTGCCAAGAGAAATTATTTTCAGAATTTTTTGTAAACAATGCGGGAAAGTATAGGGGCCTTACTACTCACCTAAGTTCTTACTGCCAACAAAACATCTGGTAGCAAGCCTGGAAGTCATGGGATTAAGTGTCCTATGTTCGAATAATCGAGTAAATTGAATATTAAAGCATAAACTTTACAATTTTCAGAAACACTTCTGCGCCATTTTGAGTAGTTGCGTAATATCTTGCTAACAACGTTTTTAAAACAGAAGCTTGTGAGTATTTTTATATGGGGCCTATAGGGAGTTGTATATCCTTTCTTCATTGATTTGAAGTAAGTTGAAAATATACATTTTTGACCTTTGATGTCTATTTATTTGTTGCCATGGTAACAGATATTGTCAAAAATGTGTTGGAACTCATAACATGTTTAAACATGTTGACAGTGAAAATTTGAAGTCTGTCTGAACAGTACTTGTTAAGGTATTGGAAGTTGTAAGAAGTCAGACACCATAAAAATTATTGTGCTTCAAGGGGAAAGACAAGACAATATTCAGTCTGAACAATAGGAAGTCCTGATAGGTCTGTTGCTAGCAGAATCTTAGTTCTAACTGTTAGAAATATGTGTCAAATTGACCAAATTATGTATATAAATGTATGTGAAATATTCAATAACTAATTTTACCTTGCAGAGTTCAGCTTTTCATTATCCTTTGTATGTTGTCTATCAGGTAAGTAGGCCTTTTTGTCAGCGATTTCATCGTCTGAGCTGTCTATGAGGTCCCTAGAATACATACATATTTATTTTAATGATATGAAATATGTATGTCTACTTATACATCATTGTAACCATCTTAGAAGAGCAATGTCATACATGTTCAGAAGCTTTGTCTTGTCCTTACAAGTTTGTTAAACTGTACTTATAGACTGTGAGGCCTCATCATGAATAAAAACGTGGAACAATGTATTACCTTTGACTAAGTCCAGCATCTTGATTTTTTTTCTTCAGCTTATAGCTTGTCTGACCTTGCTTCCGCAATGTTAGGGGTCTCTTCTTCCTTTTCTTGGGTTTCTTCATATCCATAACTTTAACTCTGAAAAATATGAATCAAAATATTAATGTTGTTTTGAAAAAACAAAAATTAAATGCCCCATGTATCAAGCTGTCATTCATAATGGTGCGTAAATCATGTGTAAAAATGTTTTGACAACTGACGAACATGGATGATTTAATACACGATGTAAGAAATGAGATCATTGTCAACATTTGTGTAAATAGGGTATTTAACTGTTCATTTTTAAGCATCAATTGCTCTCATTAATTATGCAATATTGTATGCTCCATAATAATTTGGCGTACTTTTTTTGCCAATTGCTCTCATTTATTATGCAATATTGTATGCTCCCTAATAATTTGGCGTACTTTTTTCCCACCTTTTTACTTTTCAACCAATCAGATTTGTTGATTGGATAAACACATAATGGAGGAAGACTTGGTGAGAAATTATCCCATATTTTGTAATATTTCTAATTGATATAATAACCCTAGAGATTAATTACATTCATATTCATAAAGTAGATATTACAAGGTTCATGTACATATAAATTATTTGATGTTTCGATAGAAATATGAACTTGAAATTGTAATCTTAGAAACTTGTCAACTTAGTGAACAAAATCTATATTTTGTAAACAGACATTTACATTTTGGGTATTACTTTATTCAAGGCAACAATGTTATAGCAGATACATATCAATCAACCATCCAATCAACCACAGCTGTATACAGTTAGCCCATAGGGTAAGCATATATATTTTAGAGAATATGCATTTCACTTTGAATATTGCATTTATATTGCATTTCTCATTTTCTCATATAAGATAGCGTAATTGCTTCTATATTAGAGATAGTTGTATTCACAGGATACATTTGGTCATTTATGTAATAATGGTATATATTTCAGGCCCGTAGCCAGGATTTGCCAAGGGGGGGTTCAATTTTCAAAAATTTCCAGGGGGGGTTCACATTTGACAATTTTGGCCCAAATTAGGCTAAAATCACTAGACAAGTGCTCAAAATGGTCAAAAACTGCATGATTTTGAAAGAATTTTTGGCCAGGGGGGGGTTCGCCCGAACCCTGCGAACCCCCCTGGCTACGGGCCTGTATTTTTAGCTTACTCTACATAATGTAGATGGTCATTGAAATGCACATTGTTGTTTGAAATGCGGATATGCACAATGTTCAATGCCAAATATCTAAGCTATTTATGACCACTTTTATGTAACTGTGTGTTGATTCAGGGATGATATGTCATGTATTCTATTTCTGCATTGGTAATTTTATCCATACCCAAAATGTTGTAATTTGTACTTTTACAGGCTGTCTGTCTGTGTCTATGTCTGGCTGATTACAATAAACCATTTTAAATCTAAGATGATCTTATGTGACGCATATCGCATATCATACTAGCCACTTAAAGCCACCACTACATTTGTTAGGACTGAACTGTAAAGGGGTACTGTAAATAGCATTTCAATCGTTTCAATCAGTTCAATCGATGCGTTTTGAAAATGAAATTTCTGTTTCGCTGCTTGCGCCTGTTTCGCCGTTTCAAGCATTTCAATCAATTCGCCTAATGAACTTTCACTTTTGTTTCAAGCATTTCGGCCTTTATGCCGCTGTTTCAAGCATTTCGCCTGCCAGTGTATTAACACCCCTTAAGTCAATTGATCAAATATTGTTGGAATATTGGAATCAAGTCTGAAGGTAGTCTCGATTATTATGTTTAAATGCAAGGTTTTGAAAATCTGGGGCAATTAATTGTATTGCAAGAGAAAAATTGACCAATTTAAAAGTTAAAAGACAAAACCAATCAGACAAATGATTTTTTGAAATGTGGTTTACTAAGTGAACTATGATATACTAGCATGAACCATATATGAAAAATGGTGACCATTTTGAAATGAGAGGCGATATTGAAGTCCTTCTCAAGCACAGGTCCTATTACTCATAAAACTAACGTCTATAAAATTTAAACCAAATCTGTCAACCAATATTTCAGTTATTGCCCTTACAAAAAACCAAACATATGGACAGCTTCTGTACAATCGCTATCATGAACTTTTTTGAGTGGGATAATTAGAATTTTGCACCAACCTGAGTTTACTCAACTTGGGAGATTAGAACCACGCTTCTTGAATACCACCGTAGCAGTAGCATGAAATCAAAAGCATACAACATGAAATCACAGAGAACATTGTAAGGGGAATTAGAAATAAAGTCTTTAATCTTAGTTCCAAATATATAAATATTTTCGAAACAAATGCGTGATATATACACATATTTTGTACCAAATGCGTGACATAAACGGCAATCGCGTGCAACGACCGAACGGAATGCGTTCACTTTTTTTCGCCGTTCGGTATTTTACCATGTCGGCATTTCACAAAAAATGATTTTTAAAAGTATCAACAAAATGCGTGATTTGCATGATATTTGATCATACACGCTAAATTGATGCGTGATTTCTATTTTTCCAGCAAATGCGTGACAATCACGCCTAATGCGTGGGGTTGACAGTAGTCTATATCCAATAGACTGAATTTCCTGAGAATTCAGTCTATTGATCATTATGTCCCTCCTTTCCTGCACACAATTATCAATTTTAGGAAACTTCACTTCCAAAAAATAAGCATTATAACAATTCAATTAAGTAATAAGGTACAATTAAATGCTATAAAAAGTAACAAAGCATATTGTCAAATGGAAATAAAGCTAGGGGAAGTAACAAATATGCAAATTAATTTACCCAATCGGCCATTTTGAATGGCACTTCCTGTGTAAACAAATAATTTTCAATCCCAAATTTTAACATATGTGGGCTATAGTCTGAATATTTTCATTCCAAATTTCAAAAAAATTTCAGACTAGAGGCTGAGACTAACATAAGCTTTTATTTCTTTCTTATTATTTATTATTTATTATTCTTCCAAAGCATTTTTCTCCTACTTCCAACTATCTACTATATGCTCCTACTAGGAAGCTGGGTTGAACTTGGAGGTCTTTTTTGACTTGCTTCAAATTGAAATTGACTTTTATTTAACTCTACTAATAGAGAGTAAGGCATCATCAATCATAATGAATAAAAATAGTACAATGTATTACCTTTGACTCGGCCCAGCATCTTGAGTCTCTTTCTTCCGCTTGTAGCTATGATGATCTCTCTTCTGCACAATAAGGCTATTCTTCTTCCTCCTCTTCTTCTTAGGTTTCTCCACATCCATCCTTGTACAATTAGCTGGGTTTTCATCATCAATGAAGGGTTGTATTTCGGGCAAATTGGTCTCTTTGGCAGCAACTTCATTCTCTGGGGTGTCTATGAACTCCCTACAATATAAGTAGAAATATGTACAGTACATGTATGTAATACAATATGAAGCATGAATAATAGATCTACATCAAAATATGATTTTGTATAAGAATAGGAACCTAAGTTACATATCATGGTAACAATGTGAAAAGACCAATGGCATATATGTACATGTGATTTGTTTGTTTAACTCTACCAATAGAATGAAAGGCATCATCATGAATAAAAGTAGTACAATGCATTACCTTTGACTCGGCCCAGCATCTTGAGTCTCTTTCTTCCGCTTGTAGCTATGATGATCTCTCTTCTGCACAATAAGGCTATTCTTCTTCCTCCTCTTCTTCTTAGGTTTCTCCACATCCATCCTTGTACAATTAGCTGGGTTTTCATCATCAATGAAGGGTTGTATTTCGGGCAAATTGGTCTCTTTGGCAGCAACTTCATTCTCTGGGGTGTCTATGAACTCCCTACAATATAAGTAGAAATATGTACAGTACATGTATGTAATACAATATGAAGCATGAATAATAGATCTACATCAAAATATGATTTTGTATAAGAATAGGAACCTAAGTTACATATCATGGTAACAATGTGAAAAGACCAATGGCATATATGTACATGTGATTTGTTTGTTTAACTCTACCAATAGAATGAAAGGCATCATCATGAATAAAAGTAGTACAATGCATTACCTTTGACTCGGCCCAGCATCTTGAGTCTCTTTCTTCCGCTTGTAGCTATGATGATCTCTCTTCTGCACAATAAGGCTATTCTTCTTCCTCCTCTTCTTCTTAGGTTTCTCCACATCCATCCTTGTACAATTAGCTGGGTTTTCATCATCAATGAAGGGTTGTATTTCGGGCAAATTGGTCTCTTTGGCAGCAACTTCATTCTCTGGGGTGTCTATGAACTCCCTACAATATAAGTAGAAATATGTACAGTACATGTATGTAATACAATATGAAGCATGAATAATAGATCTACATCAAAATATGATTTTGTATAAGAATAGGAACCTAAGTTACATATCATGGTAACAATGTGAAAAGACCAATGGCATATATGTACATGTGATTTGTTTGTTTAACTCTACCAATAGAATGAAAGGCATCATCATGAATAAAAATAGTACAATGCATTACCTTTGACTCGGCCCAGCATCTTGAGTCTCTTTCTTCCGCTTGTAGCTATGATGATCTCTCTTCTGCACAATAAGGCTATTCTTCTTCCTCCTCTTCTTCTTAGGTTTCTCCACATCCATCCTTGTACAATTAGCTGGGTTTTCATCATCAATGAAGGGTTGTATTTCGGGCAAATTGGTCTCTTTGGCAGCAACTTCATTCTCTGGGGTGTCTATGAACTCCCTACAATATAAGTAGAAATATGTACAGTACATGTATGTAATACAATATGAAGCATGAATAATAGATCTACATCAAAATATGATTTTGTATAAGAATAGGAACCTAAGTTACATATCATGGTAACAATGTGAAAAGACCAATGGCATATATGTACATGTGATTTGTTTGTTTAACTCTACCAATAGAATGAAAGGCATCATCATGAATAAAAGTAGTACAATGTATTACCTTTGACTCGGCCCAGCATCTTGAGTCTCTTTCTTCCGCTTGTAGCTATGATGATCTCTCTTCTGCACAATAAGGCTATTCTTCTTCCTCCTCTTCTTCTTAGGTTTCTCCACATCCATCCTTGTACAATTAGCTGGGTTTTCATCATCAATGAAGGGTTGTATTTCGGGCAAATTGGTCTCTTTGGCAGCAACTTCATTCTCTGGGGTGTCTATGAACTCCCTACAATATAAGTAGAAATATGTACAGTACATGTATGTAATACAATATGAAGCATGAATAATAGATCTACATCAAAATATGATTTTGTATAAGAATAGGAACCTAAGTTACATATCATGGTAACAATGTGAAAAGACCAATGGCATATATGTACATGTGATTTGTTTGTTTAACTCTACCAATAGAATGAAAGGCATCATCATGAATAAAAGTAGTACAATGCATTACCTTTGACTCGGCCCAGCATCTTGAGTCTCTTTCTTCCGCTTGTAGCTATGATGATCTCTCTTCTGCACAATAAGGCTATTCTTCTTCCTCCTCTTCTTCTTAGGTTTCTCCACATCCATCCTTGTACAATTAGCTGGGTTTTCATCATCAATGAAGGGTTGTATTTCGGGCAAATTGGTCTCTTTGGCAGCAACTTCATTCTCTGGGGTGTCTATGAACTCCCTACAATATAAGTAGAAATATGTACAGTACATGTATGTAATACAATATGAAGCATGAATAATAGATCTACATCAAAATATGATTTTGTATAAGAATAGGAACCTAAGTTACATATCATGGTAACAATGTGAAAAGACCAATGGCATATATGTACATGTGATTTGTTTGTTTAACTCTACCAATAGAATGAAAGGCATCATCATGAATAAAAATAGTACAATGCATTACCTTTGACTCGGCCCAGCATCTTGAGTCTCTTTCTTCCGCTTGTAGCTATGATGATCTCTCTTCTGCACAATAAGGCTATTCTTCTTCCTCCTCTTCTTCTTAGGTTTCTCCACATCCATCCTTGTACAATTAGCTGGGTTTTCATCATCAATGAAGGGTTGTATTTCGGGCAAATTGGTCTCTTTGGCAGCAACTTCATTCTCTGGGGTGTCTATGAACTCCCTACAATATAAGTAGAAATATGTACAGTACATGTATGTAATACAATATGAAGCATGAATAATAGATCTACATCAAAATATGATTTTGTATAAGAATAGGAACCTAAGTTACATATCATGGTAACAATGTGAAAAGACCAATGGCATATATGTACATGTGATTTGTTTGTTTAACTCTACCAATAGAATGAAAGGCATCATCATGAATAAAAGTAGTACAATGCATTACCTTTGACTCGGCCCAGCATCTTGAGTCTCTTTCTTCCGCTTGTAGCTATGATGATCTCTCTTCTGCACAATAAGGCTTTTCCTCTTCTTCCACTTCTTGGGTTTCTTCACATCCATAGTACTAACAAACTCTGGAAAATACAAATCAAAATATTAATGTTGGTTTGAAAAAACAAAATGGTATGTAAACCATTTGACCATGATTTCAGTTGACTATGAAATTGAAAAGAGGAAACCTATCATTCAAATGAATAGTTCTTAGTGATCTACATAGTTTACTCTTACGAGTGATGTATGAACCATATCAAGGGGATGTCTAGATCAATTTATTTAGATCCTTAGTATAGAAAAATCTTCGGAGATTATCGCGACGCGAGGGGAAAGTTGGGCCAATACCATGATTTCAGCTGACTATGACAATTAAAAGAGGAAACCTATCATTCAAATGAACAGATCTTCAAGATCTACAAAGTAGGCCCTTTTCAGTGATATATGAACCATATCAAGGGGATGTCTGGATCAATTTATATAGATGATGAAACTTTTGAAAATCTATGGAGATGTATCGCGACATGAGGGGAAAGTTGGGCCAACACCATGATTTCAGCTGACAATGACAATTAAAAGAGGAAACCTATCATTCAAATGAACAGATCTTCAAGATCTACAAAGTAGGCCCTTTTCAGTGATATATGAACCATATCAAGGGGATGTCTGGATCAATTTGTATAGATGATGAAACTTTAGACAAATCTTCGGAGATTATCGCGATGCGGGGGAAAAGTTTGGCCAATAGCATGATTTCAGCTGACTATGACACTTAAAAGAGGAAACCTATCATTCAAATGAATAGATCCTCGAGATCTACTAAGTAGGCTCTTTTCAGTGATATGTGAAAAGGGGATGTCTGGATCAATTTATATAGATGATGAAACTTTAGAAAAATCTTCGGAAATTATCGCGACACGAGGGAAAATTTGGGCCAATACCATGATTTCAGCTGACTATGACACTTAAAAGAGGAAAACTATCATTCAAATGAACAGTTCTTCGAGATCTACAAAGTAGGCCCTTTTCAGTGATATATGAACCATATCAAGGGGATGTCTGGATCAATTTATATAGATGATGAAACTTTAGAAAATCTACGGAGATGTATCGCGACATGAGGGGAAAAGTTGGGCCAATACCATGATTTCAGCTGACTGTGACACTTAAAAGAGGAAAACTATCATTCAAATGAACAGTTCTTCGAGATGATCTACAAAGTAGGCCCTTTTCAGTGATATATGAACCATATCAAGGGGATGTCTGGATCAATTTATATAGATGATGAAACTTTAGAAAATCCAAGGAGATGTATCGCGACATGAGGGGAAAGTTGGGCCAACACCATGCTTTCAGCTGACAATGACAATTAAAAGAGGAAACCTATCATTCAAATGAACAGATCTTCAAGATCTACAAAGTAGGCCCTTTTCAGTGATATATGAACCATACCAAGGGGATGTCTGGATCAATTTGTATAGATGATGAAACTTTAGATAAATCTTCGGAGATTATCGCGATGCGGGGGAAAAGTTGGGCCAATACCATGATTTCAGCTGACTATGACACTTAAAAGAGGAAAACTATCATTCAAATGAACAGTTCTCCGAGATCTACAAAGTAGGCCCTTTTCAGTGATATATGAACCATATCAAGGGGATGTCTGGATCAATTTATATAGATGATGAAACTTTAGAAAATCTACGGAGATGTATCGCGACATGAGGGGAAAAGTTGGGCCAATACCATGATTTCAGCTGACTATGACACTTAAAAGAGGAAAACTATCATTCAAATGAACAGTTCTTCGAGATCTACAAAGTAGGCCCTTTTCAGTGATATATGAACCATATCAAGGGGATGTCTGGATCAATTTATATAGATGATGAAACTTTAGAAAATCTACGGAGATGTATCGCGACATGAGGGGAAAGTTGGGCCAACACCATGCTTTCAGCTGACAATGACAATTAAAAGAGGAAACCTATCATTCAAATGAACAGATCTTCAAGATCTACAAAGTAGGCCCTTTTCAGTGATTTATGAACCATATCAAGGGGATGTCTGGATCAATTTGTATAGATGATGAAACTTTAGATAAATCTTCGGAGATTACCGCGATGCGGGGGAAAAGTTTGGCCAATACCATGATTTCAGCTGACTATGACACTTAAAAGAGGAAAATTATCATTCAAATAAATATCTTCGAGATCTACAAAGTAGGCCCTTTTCAGTGATATATGAACCATATCAAGGGGATGTCTCGATCAATTTGTATAGATGATGAAACTTAAGAAAATCTACGGAGATGTATTGCGACATGAGGGGAAAGTTGGGCCAACACCATGATTTCAGCTGACAATGACAATTAAAAGAGGAAACCTATCATTCAAATGAACAGATCTTCAAGATCTACAAAGTAGGCCCTTTTCAGTGATATGTGAACCATATCAAGGGGATGTCTGGATCAATTTATATAGATGATGAAACTTTAGATTAATCATCGGAGATTATTGCGACGCGAAGGAAAAGTTGGGCCAATACCATGATTTCAGCTGACTATGACACTTAAAAGAGGAAACCTATCATTCAAATGAACAGTTCTTCGAGATCTACAAAGTAGGCCCTTTTCAGTGATATATGAACCATATCAAGGGGATGTCTGGATCAATTTATATAGATGATGAAACTTTAGAAAAATCATCGGAGATTATTGCGACGCGAAGGAAAAGTTGGGCCAATACCATGATTTCAGCTGACTATGACACTTAAAAGAGGAAACCTATCATTCAAATGAACAGTTCTTCGAGATCTACAAAGTAGGCCCTTTTCAGTGATATATGAACCATATCAAGGGGATGTCTGGATCAATTTATATAGATGATGAAACTTTTGAAAATCTACGGAGATGTATCGCGACATGAGGGGAAAGTTGGGCCAACACCATGATTTCAGCTGACAATGACAATTAAAAGAGGAAACCTATCATTCAAATGAATAGATCTTCGAGATCTACTAAGTAGGCTCTTTTTAGTGATATGTGAACCATATCAAGGGGATGTCCGGATCAATTTATATAGATGATGAAACTTTTGAGAAATTTCTTTTTGGGTCAGAAATATCTGAAGAAAAATGAATGAAAAAAGTTAACAAAAAAAGTAAGAAGTAAAGCACCAGAGCATTTTGCTCATTGAATAGTTTTTATAGTCTAATATGTATATAATTTTGTCATAATTTTGTACTTTTATTTTACATCACTGTAAATATAAATTGTATCTCCATTTTATTATGGGCAATAAAGATATACAATACAATACAATACCAGTCATTTATACATATTCATACATGAAATAATCAATATTGATTTATGTACAAGGAACCTTACTTTTAACACTAAACGGTAAAATCCACTTATTATCAAAGGCTAGAGTACCGACAATTGTCGGTACTGGAGACTTTGCTGTGTTGACATGCTAGAGGACTGACAAATGAGAGCACTTTACCCCTTAGTAGGATCTAATAGAGAACTGACCAAAAGTCTGTGGGTCTGCTAAATACTGTAAAACATGCTAAATTTTCAAGCATGGTGATTTTCGCCTTTATTTGCCTGAATGTAAAATCGCGAATTTAAAACTGTGTCTTTTCCTGAGTAATGTGGATGAATTAATGGAACAAATGAAGAATAAAAACTACTAAGAAAAATCTGTATTCTAATTGTGTTTTGTTTATTTTATTCAAGCGTTAGGCCTATAGAGTATAGACTACGCAATTATAAAACAAACGTGAAGAAAAACTTAAAAGTCGTATTTGAATACATTTGTTTGTTTCAACACTACATGCTGGTTATAAACAATAAAACATGTACAATATAAAGTTAGTTGAAAGAGCGTCTGTCGTTTAAAATACCATCATCAGGGGAATAGCCAGCTTCCAGTCACGTACGCGTGCGATCGCCAAAAATCGCCTTTCAGTCGGGAGGGGGGGGGGGGGGGGGGGGACGTGACATACAGGTAAGCAACCCAACCAAAACAAACTTTTTTATTACAAAAATTGATGCAACTTCCTTCAAAAACCCGGGCTTCAAACGTGAGCGAGAAGCTGCAAATTAAACACATTTGAAAGGTCTTTTCTTTATTGGATCTATTGTTATTGGTTATGGGGTTCAGTCGCATCCCCCTGGCTACACTTATGGATGATAAAACCAGTCATCAAAGCAACGAGCAGTCTCACGACCCGACCCTACATGTACATATCAACAATCAACAGGCGACTTAATATCTCAACAACTCATGACAAGAAAGTTTGTAAGTTTAATTAACCCTTTTATGGGTTTTATTTTCAAAAAATAACATGTGGCAATCATGACTGGATAATTAGCAGGAAATAACCCTAATTGACATAAGCTTATAACCAACTAGAAAAATAATCTCATAACAATGTTGCAATCAATTTTTTCCAAACAGGTTTCATTTCTTATCACAGTTCGGTGCAGTTTTATTAGAGACAATTCATTTTGTAAACAGAATGTATTTAATATTACTATCCGTGTATTGTGGTTATAATTCGCAAAAACATCAGGAAATTATGAATTACTAAGCCAGCCAGTCTTTGAGGGTAAGCCAGATCATTGTAGCATCAATGGCTCAAAATATCTATTTAGCTACTACCTGAGACTAACATAAAAGGGATTGGAAACTCTATACTGATATAAAAAGAAATAGAAAGAACAATTTCAAAACTGGGTCCGAAAAAGAAAGATGTATAATCTAGACACAGAAATACCCACTTGCGTACCGACAATTGTCGGTTCTCTATCTGGATCTACTAGGTGACGATAGAGTGCCGACAATTGTCGGTACCCCAGCAAATACCCACTGTACAGTCTCCAGTACCGACAATTGTCGGTCCTGGAGCCACTTCGTTTAATAAAAATGTTGATTCCTTGGACTTCGCAATTTTTTGGCTTTCCTCATTTTTCAATCACTTTTTCTTGTAAGAGAACGGTGTTTCCGTAAGTATTTCCCTCTAAATTTTAACAAATATGCATTCATGATAACCATTTTATCGAT